CGTCAAAAGATCACAAATCGTATCTAGTTGAAGACATTACCCTTAAAAATTGAAAAAAATTCCCTCGTTCCCCGCAAATGAGGGAAACCTCCAAAAAAATTACAAATTTAAAAATCGCTAATTTTCGAAATTTTTTCACTTTTTTTTCTTAAAACTTCCATAACTTTTTGAAAAATCAACAAATCAACATAATTTTTTTTTATACTAAAACCTTAGATATTTACCTTTCATTTGATATCATTTTTTTGAAAATCTATCACTTAACCTGCTCATTGGGGGGGATTTAAAATGGCAACTTTTTTACAAAAATTAATTTTTTCAACTTAATTTTTGAAAATGTTCCGGAAAGACTGCGTCCTTTAAACATATATCAAATTAAAGCTTATTTTATGTACTACAAAATGAAAAAAAAAAATTTGTCCCGACACTTTTTTTTCTACATTTAAACGGCTGCCGTAGTTAAAAAAACACTATTTTTGTGTTAAAATTTTCGATTTTCGATTTTAAATTTTCAACTTAAAAATGCTATAACTTTTTGAAAAATGTATATATCAGCACAAATTTTTTTTTTCTAAATACATTATAAGTACATCTTTCATTTGACATACTTTTTATTAAAATTGGACAATTTCCCCTTATATAGGGGGCGTTCAAAACTTAAAATATTGTAAAAAACATAGATCTTTTTCAACTGAACTTTTGAAAATGTTCCGGAAATACTGCGTCCTTTAAACATATATCAAATCAAAGGTTATGTTATATACTATCAAATGAAAAAAAAAAATTTGTCCCGACATCTTATCTTCTATGTGCAAATGGCTGTCGAAAATTTAAAAAAAAATGTAATGTTTGCGATAAAAATTACATTTTATCGGGATGTTTTTTGTACTTAAAACTGCCATAACTTTTTCAAAAATGAACAAATAAAAATAATATTTTTTTGTATTGAAACCTTAGATATTTCCCTTTCATTTGATATAATTTTTTTTGAAAATCTAACACTTATTCTGCTCACTGGGAGGATTTAAAATAGTAACTTTTTTACAAAAAAGAATTTTTTCAACTTAATTTTTGAAAATGTTCCGGAAAGACTGCGTCCTTTAAACATATATCAAATTAAAGCTTATTTTATGTGCTATAATATGAAAAAAAATATTTGTCCCGACACTTTTTCTTTCTACATTTAAACGGCTGCCGTAGTTAAAAAAACACTATTTTTGTGTTAAAATTTTCGATTTTCGATTTTAAATTTTCAACTTAAAAATGCTATAACTTTTTGAAAAATGTATATATCAGCACAAATTTTTTTTTTCTAAATACATTATAAGTACATCTTTCATTTGACATACTTTTTATTAAAATTGGACAATTTCCCCTTATATAGGGGGCGTTCAAAACTTAAAATATTGTAAAAAACATAGATCTTTTTCAACTGAACTTTTGAAAATGTTCCGGAAATACTGCGTCCTTTAAACATATATCAAATCAAAGGTTATGTTATATACTATCAAATGAAAAAAAAAAATTTGTCCCGACATCTTATCTTCTATGTGCAAATGGCTGTCGAAAATTTAAAAAAAAATGTAATATTTGCGATAAAAATTAGTTATTAGCGGGATGTTTTTTGTACTTAAAACTGCCATAACTTTTTCAAAAATGAACAAATAAAAATAATATTTTTTTGTATTGAAACCTTAGATATTTCCCTTTCATTTGATATAATTTTTTTTGAAAATCTAACACTTATTCTGCTCACTGGGAGGATTTAAAATAGTAACTTTTTTACAAAAAATAACTTTTTCAACTTAATTTTTGAAAATGTTCCGGAAATACTGCGTCCTTTAAACATATATAAAATTAAAGCTTATTTTATGTACTACAAAATGAAAAAAAAAAATTTGTCCCGACGATCTATCTTCTATACGCAAATGGCTACCATATTGAAAAATATACTATTTTTGTATGATAATTATGGGTTTTGTATTTTATTTTAATAGAAGTTGATGTTGCTTTTGCAATTATCCATCAATTTTTTAAAATTAAACACTATCTACAGATTTGCATCGAAGCGTTTCTTATGATAGTGATTTTAATCACTGTCAGATTAAATCTATACTGGACCCTACTATGCAATGTCTCCACTATGCCGCGACCCCACTGTGCTACCGTTTTAATTAGATTATTTTATATTTTACAATATAATTAAATATGTATGTTACCATTAAATAAAAATAAGTCGACACCCTTTCAAGTTATAAGGGTAGATTTTAAAAAGTAATTATTAGCTGAAAAACCAAGAATTATATGTAACTAAAAGAAATGTAAATTTTTTTCCTATATTGTATTTATTTTGCGAGTAATCGAGTGGTTTGTGATAAATCGATCACTCTGTATATTGCAAATGAATATTCCGACTTCTTTACGAATAATATTTGAGTCTTCATTGATCTTCTTGGACTCAGAGTTTTATTCGAATTACTAATTTCCTCACTTGAATATTAGCAGGGTTTAAAATATGATTATATGTTCGTTATTTCAAAATAACAATGTTTCGTTCTTTTTTACTATTAATTACCTAAATCGCGTTACAAATATCTCTTAATTCACATCTCCAGTATAATCGTTGTCTATTTCTGTTTAATTTTCGTGAATAATAAATGAAATTGTTGGCAATTAAAAGATTTTGATTATTGTTTTATTTCAAAATAAAAGGCTTCATTTTAAACGTATCAAACATTAAACATTAAGTATGGTAACTAACATATTGTTAGTCTACAATTATGTAGACAATAGTAAAAACTAAAAATATAAATTATTGTAAATAGAAGGCTATATATTAGTAAACTAAAAAAAATTATAGAAATTCAAAAAAGTAGAAATTTTTTTTTTTTAGACATTACTATTATTACTATTTTTGCATAAATACATTATGTGGTAGACATTAATTAGTAGATCATTTTTATTTTTCCGATAAGCAATACTTTTGTCAACAATAAATATAGTTTTCAAAAAAAAATTGGGGAGATAAACCTTATAGCTCTTCTAGTTACCTCTATGTCCACAATGTTATCATTTTTGCAATGAAAATTTTAATGCTTAAAGTTGTTATCTTAAAATATGCACGCTAAAAAATATTATCTAAAATATTGTATCTTTTCAATCACCCTCAATTTAACCTTAAGTAGTTATGTAACTTAAGATTTAAAAAATAATGTATATTAAAAAACAAATTATAATTTACAATTATAAATTATATTTAATGCCAAAAATGTAGGTTACTAATAGTAACTATGGTGATTGACGTAAGATATGATTGCAAACGGCACTAAATTCTGTGGAGTGTATTTTTTATTTAATATATTTTTAGACTTGAAAACGCAAAAAAAGGTGTCTTGTAATATTTTTCATTCCATAATCAAATCACTTTTCCCTTTACAAGTCATTTTTTAAACGATTAGAATAAAAATTCAATTATATTAAACAATGATAGTCGACAATGATAATTCTCTACACTTCATACAGCCATTATAAGCTATTCTTTTGGAAAAATAATAAGCCTGGGTTTATATAATAATATTATTATCGTCTCATGCTCTTTCCACGGGGTACCTTGTGTTTTTGACATCTCTGCTTTTTTTTATTATTATTTATTACAACCCTCTTGTCTGTGCACTCGTTTAGTTTTGCACAGTTTTATTATTATTATTATTATTATACCGCTGACGTGATTTTTTCTACCATCATATTCGCCTCTGTGTAGTTGCCTATATAGCATCGTTTTTTCCCTGACGATTATCATCCAACTACCTCGCCTATACCGCATCTCTTATTCCCCTTTATAGATCCCTTATTCTATTGTAGAACTCCGCCCATTGACCAATCATGAAAAGAGTATTGTAGGGGAAATACTGCGGATGCAGCCATTGTCGTATCCCTTTCTTTCGCCTTTTCACGGTTTTCACGTTCGCGCTGAAAGATTACAGATTACTACTACAATAATCGTTAATATAGTATAGGTAGGAGGTACATGGTATTATATTTACGGGCGTCGCCGTTTTATATCATAGGACATTAAATAATACATTTTCAAATGCATTGTAATTACGAATATTTTTTCATGCTCATACAATGCCTTTTTTGAAAATTGTTCTTATCCAACTCATAGTATTACACTACAGCTAAATATTAATAAAACGGCAATGAATTTTATATGAATATTAAATTTTGTATATTTGATATAAATACCAGACAACGTTGATGATGTTCTGTCATATGTCTTCAGAAATAACAAAAAAAAAAAAAAAGTCGCTATGTACAAAAACTCGAAGAAAACAAATATTGGGAAAATAACATTATTTATGTACAATATTTCTATAAAATAAGAAATAAAACGTTAAACTTAAGCTAGCAGCATAATGATATTACTATAATCTCACAATTTGCTGTTGAGACGCTGGTAGAGATCTCATTGAATCGTTATTATTGATTTGTAATGCTTGTAATGGCTTTTGAGAATTAACCTGGGGTGACGATTTTTCTACATCTTTTTTTGTAATAACAATTTCTCCTCCACTATTCAATACTGAACTTTTATTATCACTCTTATTTGTCACTTCATTACCGTTACAGTTACTATTAAGAGGTGACACATTTGTAATCACATCACTAAGGTCAGGATTTGGATTTTGACGTGTTGGTAGAGTTTGCTGGCGAGAACCCGTTCCAGCTGCTAACAACTCTCTTTCTTTTGTGTTCCTCCATTTCATTCTTCTATTTTGAAACCATATTTTGACCTGGGAGTCTTTTAACGCTAATTTATCGGCAAGTCTTTTTCTATCAGGTTTGCTTATGTATTTTTGTAACTGAAATCTTCGCTCTAGTCCTTTACGTTGTTGATCTGAAAATACAGCCCGACGCATCATACCTCTTCTTGGTTTTCCTCGTGATGAAGTTCCATTAATTCCTGTTCCATTGAGTCCGTGATGAGAAGTACCACCATGGCTATGTATAGTAGCATGGTGTAAATGGGCGCCTTGCAAGTTATGATGATGCGATTGATGAACTGAATGAATGGCAGCAGCAGCCGCAGCAACATGATGTAATGCTGCTGCAGTGTTGTGATTATGCGCAACAGAGTTTTGAAGATGCTGATGTAATGCACTTGGTGACGGATGGTGTGAATGTGGATGTAAAGTTCTTAGAACACCGTTGGTATTTCTATGCATCCCCCCAGGCCTCAGAGTAGGTGTCGATCCAGCTGACGGCATTAGACTATTTAAATGATTTGCTGTTAAAATGGATGTACTTCCGTTGACTGACATTCCACCATCCCCATAAATATTACTCGAATTATCGCCAGCTGCCATAACCCAAGGAAAACCATTTATCCTATTATTATGCATTAGCATTTCTTGATGTCGATATTGCATTGAAAATCCATTACTTACAATAGATTGAGGTGGAGTCATACTTCCTCTATTAGCTGTGTGACTTTCTAAAAAAAATACATTCAAAGTAATAAAAATAATAATATTGATTTAGTACTAGATTGAATTTTTAATATATTTTACAGTTTGTCTTCATAGAAATCCAGCAAATTTTTAGAGAAGCACATAAATGTATTCAAATAACAAACAATAAAAAATGTTTGTATTAAACTCCTTGTTAAAGAAATTATAAAAAAAGATTTAATTATTAATAAATAATCAACTTTAGTAAATTTAAGGTTGTACTATAATTTTTGAAATTCAATCTGGCCATAGTGGGAATAGACATAGAACCGTGTGTAGAGATTCAAGATGGAGACAACAAACATTTTAACTAGCCTATCCTTTTCTAAATGATCTATATTTTTTGAAGAATATACTGAACTTACAAAGATTTTTTTTTTTAAATCGTATTTTGTGAAATCAGTTTAAAAATCACTCTTTAATCCTAAGAAAATTCTCGATTTTTATTGACTTTTAAATTTTACCGGTTCAATATAATAATAATAATAATAATAATAAACTAATATACAGAGTGTTTCACCATGCTCTGATATCTATAATCATTTTTTAACAAGGTATTATTTAACGTTACATTTTTTAAAAATAATTTGTACAGTTTTGAGAATTTTTATCACTAATAAAAAAGATATTACTAGTGATAAATAATAAAAAATGTTCTAAATGTAGTCCAAAACTGTACAAATTATTTAAAAAAAAAAGTAACGTAAAATATTTGCTGGTTCAACAATGATTAAAGATGACAGAATGTGGTAGGATACTTGTATACATGTATAAAATTATGTCTTATATAAGGGATTATTTCCTATAATTTATGTCTACAATTAACTAATAGAAGTATCAACAGAAAATAAAAAAGTGTATTTTGGGAAGGACGATCTCTGGGTCAACCCACTACCTTTAAACCAAGTGCTAAACAAAAATACCGCACCAGTGACTCAATCCGAAATTTTTTTATGGGGATCATAATTTTAAATAATATTAATGGTCTTTTTTTTTATAACTACTAAAAATTAAAAAAATACTATTCATTTCAAGGGGAGTGGTAAAATAAGAATGAAATATTAATCAAATTCAATCAAAATTCCTCTCCTCTAGAAAATTATTAAAAATATGCCACTGTTATTTAAGGTAATGAGCGTTGTAAAATTTAGAAAAAAATGTGTCAAATAATTTTTATGGTTCTTGTCTATAAACAAAAACCCTGTAGACAAAAACTCGATTTAACTATTGTTAATCTATTGTACTATAATAACTATTAGTAACTAATTAACAATACTACTGTCACTTACGAAGTGCGTATTAATTGAGCATATTACATTAAAACATAATAAAATTATTTTAAGTATAAACATTTAAAAGTAACTTTAATTTGTCATAATTAATAATATTAATTTATTATATTAAAATATAATATATTGTCAACGCAGAAATAAGTAATTTTATTTTTATCAAAGATAAAAAAAATTGAATTTCGTTAATTTATTTAATTGAGTAATTAATAATAATTATATAATTTAATATATTTCATTTGTAATAATTTAGGTCATTATTTTATTTAAACGAAAACGTGTATATATTTAAAAATGTTTTGAAGTAAGGGTAATGTAGAATGTTATTTGTTATAATTGGGTTATATGGAAAGATAATTTTTTGTAATAAGTTTAATAATTATTGTTTATTATTAAACTTTAATGCTAAAATTATTCATAAAAGTTTAGTGAAATATCCAAAATGCTTGTACTATTGTTTTTCCATTTTGGTATAATAGAAAAATAATATAATAAATATACATTTCATTGATTCGTAATAAAAGAAAATTAAAATATCTTAACAATGGATTCACTTATAATATTGTGTCATAAACAATGTGAATTTTGGCAATTGTTATTAAAAAAATATGTCGATAAAGATAAACTGTTGGATTTTATTTGTAGGGTAATGCATCTGTTGTTATTACGAGTTAATTAGCACGCCGTTTATGTATTAACTTAAATATTTTTTTTTTACAATTTCTATGTACTAATACATATTTATCTTCAATATGTCACCGCCGTAGCAAATGAATTTAATTATTCTATCCCTAACGCTAATCGGTCATGTTTTGAGTGTACATGACTAAAGAATAAGTCTGCGTATAATGTTTATATTAATTTATAAAATTGGATGGGGACGAACGGACGTGCACAGTGTGCATTTGACAGCGTATAGTACGAGGGGAAAAGAGCGCAACTGCAGTTCTTCGCGTTTGTCCATTATCCATTTGTTCGCTATATAAATATTTAACAACTTATTATATTTTTCCCCTTCTACGTACAAATTTCTCAAGAAATTGGATAGAGGCAAAAAAAAATTTAATTGATATCAAGGAATTTGTATTCAATAAGTACATTATTGAAAAGACATTTCAAACAACATTTTAAGCATATAACGATTCTTTAATTTTTTTAAACCAAGACAATTTTCGAGAGCTGTTAAATATACAGTGCAAAGTGGAAGAATACTATTCAGTGATTTAAGATAATTAATTACTCTACTAATTAAATTAAATGTTATTATTTATTTATTTCAAATAAATTTTAATTTAATTTCTCAATTTTTCTTATTTAATTTTCATTTCTAAACATATCATTTGTTTTAATTTTGTAATAAAAAATCGTGTTATTACAAATTAAGCTTTTGATTAAATATTTTTGTTGTACTATGATAATTTGTTAATAAGTGAGTTCAATACCTTATACTCTCATGTGATTTTAACTATTAACAGAGAGTTGAACACATTATACGTTGTAAATTGTAACATTTACATGCTTACATACTTCTGTAAAGCACTACATTCAAATAATTTTCCATAATAGATTCATATGAAGTTAGCACAGACACAACTTTATAATAACTGGTGTAATTAGGATTTTAAATCGTTCAAATGTGTTATTTATTATTATTTGTTTATTTATACACCGAATTTATATAAATTAAAATTTTCCTTAAGCAGTGGTGTAGCCAGGATTTTTGCTTGAGGAGGGTCTAAAGATTTTTGTTTGGCTTATCACACACTCTTACAAGCACTAATGTCATATACTGATAATAGTAATAAATGGATAATGGGGAGGGGGGCACATTGGCTACGCTATTGCTTTAAGCTACTTCTTCGAGATTTTTATATGAAATTCGAGAAAAAATCTATTGGCTGACACCTTTTATATTTGATCGATATAAACTATATAAATAATAAAATAAGTTCCAACACTGCTATGAACGACCCTTACAGCCTATACACGTGCCACCAGCTTATGCAATTGACGCTTATTCATTTGCCTTTTACGACGCATCTCGAATGTCAAAAACATACAAATCCTTTCAATCTTACCACATAGGGAGTTTAGCTTTAAGTATGATGACCATTAATTATTATCATAATCATACGACGTACACATACTTTTTTATAGCGTCGTAACTAGATTAATCATTTAAAGGCGTACGGAATGATTAATAATGGAAAGTTTGTAAAAGTTGTAGTAGTTATTATAAGCTTGCACCACTTTGTTAATCTGCTATATGATAATTAATGTATTTTATACCTGAAACATTATGCAGCGATACTGGAGATGGCGGTGTAGTGCAACATGAAGTATTGCTACTTGGTCTTTCATTGGCGTTTTCCTTTTTACAATTTGCATTTGTAGTTAAGGCTAAAAGCACAGGATTGTTTTGGTCGGAACGAGAACTATGATGTTGATTAAGTCTCCTAGCAATAGGTTTGGCTATAAACGTCGTTGGCGATGTGGTTGTTCGAGTCATTGAATGATAATTTTGTTGATTATAGAGGACATCATCAACTCCTTAAATAAAAACAATAAATATCAATTATAGAAATACTATAAAATCATTACAAGCACTAGAGTAAAATTGATATTTTATTAAAATTTCAAATAATTTTAATTTAATTCAATTTTTAGTACAATTTAATGTTGAATCTGAAGTTTTTTCTCAAGACACAATAGCAATTAAAATATTCTAAAAAATGAGAACTTACTATAGACATATCTAATAACTACTGTTCAATTAATTAATTTAATTATTCTATTTTTTTTCATTATTTATGTTTATGCATTAGTTTTATGAGTTCGTCTAATATTATCAATGAATCATTTTTTAACTAAAAATATAAAATTATTTAAAAAGTAATATTTTCGTTTCTTAAAAAGAAGGTGTTGGACATAACCTTTGTGATTAGAATTGTAAGGATAAAGTACTAGAGATGCTAAGATCCTATTACAATAGTGCGAAGTATACATTTATTTTTAGATAATTTATACTGATTAAATTTGCGAATAGGTACAAATAGGGGTTCTTTAGCTATTTAAAACCCCCAAGACATCAACAGCATCTACCAACAGTATTCTAATATTAAAAAAAAATATACATTTACATTGAAAAGTTATGTAAATTTTTTATATTATAGTACATATTTAGTTTTATTGATTATGTGTACTTTCATTAAAATTAATTATTTTAGGCATGAAGACATACAATCAAGTATGGAATAAGGAATAAAAAAATTTTTTCTTAGTATTTAAGCACCCCAAACACTATTTGTGCCCATGTTTTGAGTTTAAAAAGAGATTATTTGATTTGCATAATATTAGGCTATTCCATTATTACTATTAAAGAACAATATAAGACATATCCCGGTGTTAAAGCCGACAAAGAAGACTGCACAGAGTGCCAAAATTAAAAGGAAATCTTGCAAGAAAAATGCGATAATAGGCTTTATAAGCTGGCCTATTCAGTGTATATTTTATTAGCTTGTTTTTAAAGTTGATCATGTTGTATCATCACCAATAAAATTATTGAATATAATTCTAAACTTTTGCTTACATTTTTAAAATTAAAATTAACTATTCCGTAGTCCATACTGTCAATGAGAATATTTGACATCTGCTGTAAAATAATCATAACTTTTTTAGGAATGTTCCCATTTGTAAAGTAAGCGCAAAATAGACAGTAAATATTACCCCAATTCACAAAATATGATGTATAACTCTTTAATTATTTTTGAACAAATATTTCATCTCCTATCCCCTTGTATTAATGTTACTATGTGTAATTCAATATCATACTAATATTTGTCTTTATTAGTTATGCTATTAAGAAGTTTAAGTAGTTTCGTATTACAATATAAAATTCCTTTATTTGCTTCTGTAGTTAAGTGCCTAACAATCATATAATAAGTTTTACGCGTGACTTCCCTAAGCAAGTCATATCTGCGAATGACGGACCATAAATCTTGTCCATTCACTCTTTCTCTATCTTCATTTCTTTATGTAAGCACAAACCTCTTTTTATTATTTAATATTCAAACAAGTTGATTATTAAAACTACAATTTTTTAAATAAATATGAATGAAAACTTACCATTAGGTGAAGCTGCCGCTGCTGCTGCAGCTGCTGCAGTTATCCTGAGAAATGCCGCAGATGCTAAGTGTTGATTTTGAGACACATAGCTCCCAGAACTACTTGAGCTACTAGCATTACTACTACTTCTACCATCTCCTAAAATTGCGCTAACACTGAACGTTATCTTCCTTTCATCGACTTCTTGTTGAGCTAATCCACATCGTCCAACATCTGCACTTTCATCTATGGAAATATCAAGTAAATATTGTCAGAAAACAACAATGTTTACCATTCATACGATTTATTTATAATCAATAATATTATTATGGCAAAAATTATACTCTACATGAAACTATTGTTCATTAATTGTATATACTATTTTATATTAATGAAAGTCATTTTAATAAACGACCAACTTACCATTTGGTTCGTCGGAGCAACTACTTGAATTACTACTTGTAGTGCTATCAGTTCTCCTTCTAGGGACTGTTTTTTTCCTTCTTCTGCCTTTTTCATCAGTCTCGTCTTCTTTTCCTTTAAGTGGAAAATCGCTTTCAACTTGTTGTTCGATACATTGGGGAGAATGCAATCCATCATCATTGTTATTATTACATGATATCAATAAATTATGAATTAAAAACGACGTGGAAGATGTTCTATATCTGTTCTCATATTGTTGCAACTTAGTTGGTGGAATCGCTTTATCTGTTGAATCTTGATTTTCACATCGTTGTTCCCCTGTAATTCTACCATGACCTTCTTCTCTTTCCATTGGAGATCCAATAGGAGTTGAAGTAAGGGTGACTGGCAGCATAGTAAAAGTATTATAACTCTAAAAACAGTTTATAGGAGTTAAGTATAAACTGAAAAATTATTTTAAGAATAAAACATAGAGATTAAATTAATACAAATCAACACATTTTAAGTGTTAAATACACTCGGCGTGCTATATTTGTAATATCATACACCGATTTCCACTCTAAGTTCGAGAAGATATTTAAAGAAAGATATACTTACTGTTATTATTTCCGTTAAAATATTAAACTATCATTTCTTTTGATCTAAAATCACTAAACAGTGTTGATAAAATTATTTAAAATTATTATTGATGTATTATTTAGTAATAATGTTTCATAGTACTCTTATTATTATTGTTATTACAACTACGAGCACATTGGCAACTTAGTGTCGCGGAGGTGGGTAAAGCACTGATCAACCTAAGGGATGCTGTTGGAGGGTTGTTGTACGAGCGCGACGGCGCTTAACACTACACCCCTACTCAGTGCGCGTCTACTACTCTTCTACATTATTCCTCCCTTATCCTTTTCCATTCTTTTGTTTTTTCTCTAAAAGGGGACTGTCAGATGCAGTTATACAGCGGCACGCCGATAATTTTCCGACGGCCATTGTAGTGGGTGGAGTCTTGTATTATATCCTTAAGTATTTCTCTTTCTTAGCCATCTCCTTAATTTTATATTTTTATAACGTATATTACATACGATTAATTTACCTCAAATGATAAAATCTAAAACAATTAATGGTCGATATTATAGGATTTTAATCTTTTGTTAATAGAATAACAAAAAAGTATTATTGTAATAATAATACTATTAATGTAAATATTCATAAAAGTATTAAAGAGTATTCGAAATTACTAAGATAAGTCATGTAAGTTTTATGAATTTCTATGTAGAAGCTTCAATTATAACTAATAATAATAAGAATACTTTGATAATTGAATTAGAGAAAATTAGTAACACTTATAACGATAATAAAACCATAATCGCGACAAATAAGATATTTATACGTTATATGGTTATTTATTTTAATATTAAAATAAAAATGAATTTTGCAAAGTTAAACATTTTTATTAGGTTAGCAATTATTTGTTACTGTTGCATCGATGTAACAACATAAAGTAAAAAGCATTCACTGAAACAAAAAAATGATAGCTTACAAAATTTGTTTTATTTGAAAATAAAAAATAATTATGCTGATTTAAAATTTAAATATTTTTACTTCCAAAATACTAAAAATCTGATATAATTAAAGTTCTTGATTAGTTTAATTATTGTTGGTGTATAGTCTATAAACAATTAAATTGGAAATTATTTTGAAGAAATAGTTACTTATATTAATTTTCAGTAAATAATATTTAAAAAAATTGAAATTTCAACCGTTACATTATATTTTAATGAATAGGAAAGAAATTGAAATAATATTACATATACGATAAATTTTAACAATGTAATACAATCGTTATAATATAAAACTGAACTAATTAGTAACTTTTAAATTGACTAACCGCGTTAGTGCGTTCTATTAATAAGTTAAAAGAAAATAAAAACATATAATTTGAAGGATTTGTAAATTTATAAGCTTGAACAAATATCAATTAATTTTTTAAATTCTATATTACCTTGACATTAGAGAAAGAAAACTAATTCGTCAAAATTCGATTGAAGATAAAAGGCATAACAATTTTTTATAAGAAATGTTTCTTCAATAAATATTAAAAATAAAAACAAAACAGGTCATGAACATTTAGAAAATTACAAATGATATATATTTTTGATGATTCGTTAATTATAAATACGCAAATATTTGTCCATAGCGTTAACTTTGCATGGCCCAACTATTTTTATTTCAGTTTATACTATTTATAATTGATTATATAAGCATTCATTGCTCTATTTTTCTAACATGACCGTGATTCTTATTTGTATATTATTTTGTTTGTTAAAGCATGCTGTGCTATAAATAAAATAATATGTTCATGGACAGAAGCGGTGAAGAGGATTGAGATTAGTCAGCTTATTATTATTAAATATATGAAAGTATAATACGATTGTTTGCTTGGGGAAGCGGTGCGGCGCCGGGTGCACGCAATATGTTGTACAAGGTCCCACTCTTTTTCTGTTTATTACATATATAACGGATAAAGAGATCCCTAAAGCTGTAATATCTAGAAGCTGCTTTAGTCTCTCACTGGCTGGCACTCTCTTAACTTAAACATTTGAGTTTTTTAAACGAACAGTTTCTTCTTTACATTGGCCAACATGGTTTACTCCAGCGATTTTTACACTAGCCGTAGGCCAGCCTATTACAAGCCTTCAACATCTTACTCAATATCAGTGAGTAGTGCTTTTTTAAATAAGTCCATTCTGTTATAATCAATTTTCGAAATACAAGCATAAATCTTTGAAGTAATTATGTATTTTGTACTTCATTGATTATTTTTTTAAATGACTAAACCTAAATAAATTTTAACAATTATTTCACTGTCTAAAATATATTTCGAATACAATATAAAAAATACAATAATAGTCTATATATTTTTTATTTAACGACGGCGGCGATTTTAAAAATCCTTCATATTTATAATATTGTGACATAATTTACAAGAGGTAATAGCTAATCCATTATGTTTATCATATTATTTATGTTACTACTATCGTTAAAGGTTTCTATCTATAATATGTAGGTATGTAAATCAAATTTTTTACTCTGTTGAAATAACTTTTGATTGTAATTTTTTCATATTATGCAAATATTTGGTAACTATTAAACTAAACTAAATTGTTATAAATTTATATATTTTTTACTATGTTTATAACATAAACCTATTTACGTATTTAAATTGTTTTACAATTTCGTTGTAAGAATTATAACTGTGAAACATACGTATATAAATATCGTTTTTTGATTGCTGTAAATAATAGTCGTTAGGAGGCGCTTTGTCAAAATTCCACAAACTTAACAACGCATTGCATTTCGTTTTTATTTTGGCTAGCATTCAAATTCTAAGTTATTTTAGTGTAAAAGTGCGCACGGATCGGCAATATTTATTTATACAACTTAACAGTATACAATTACGAAAACATGGAAATCAAAATAAAAGATATTCGCATCATTTTGGCACATTCTGAATTTGGTCAATAACATTACTGATCTACCATTTTAAGAGTCATAATTTTTTTTATAAAAAGACAATTAACGACACTTAACATGACTCATTTGTTGTTATATTTGTCAATTACTTACCCCAAAATTCTCATTTAAATTATAAAGAATTTTATATACTATATATAAAAATGTGCAATGTAGAAAAGTTAAATAATACTTGGTATAAATTCAGTGTTTAGTTCTTAATTACGGATAATTATTTAATTAAAATAAATTTTATGATTACGATTATTATTTTTCTATTATAATAGAAACTACAGAAAACTCATAATTATTTAAATACAATTTTAACAACCTGTTAATTCGATAATTTACCCTTAAAATGTTCTTTATCGATTAAATTTGAAATGTTTTTAGTAATATATTGTGGTCGCATTATTTTGTGATTTATTTATAACATTTGAATTTTTACACTTTATCAATAATTTATCACGATGAGTAATTTAAAGCTGCAACACACACTACTTATTCGTATTGTTGTATACTTTTTTTTTTTTTATCTGTACCGGAATAAAATAAAATAAACTGAATACTAAATACCTGCGGTTGTGTGTGTGTTGCAGCAGGAAGAAGATAAACCGAAAGAAGTAAAAACAAGTTGTGAACAAAAAAGAGGTAAAGTGATCATAAGTAGAGTACCGTGGCATAAAGTACCAGACGTGCCGAGACCAAGTCAAGTAGAAGAGCCATTTTTGGTGTATGGTCGACACGGGGGACCTAGCAGGCAAACGGGAGCGTACGAACCGGAAGAGGCCGAGCAATTAATCAAGTCAGCTTTGCGCAGGAGACACTTACACGTGACAGAAACTATACCGTCTAAAAATCAAATTTCCAGAAGTTCAAGATATGGTTTGAGTCCGGGTACTGTTGACGGCCATGAAAGCAAAACTAGAAGACGTATTGCCTTCAGTTCTATGCCGCCTTTAACTTATCGTTATTACCATTAGAAAATAATTGTACTGCTAATATTTTTAACACATATACAGGTGACTTTTTATTAATGATCACTTAATTAATCAAAAAATAAATATAATATTAAAAATTTTACTTTTGTTTTTTTTTAATACACGTTTTTCTCAATTTATTAGTTAGTGAGTACTATTTATCCCTTATGCCTTTTAGGGGTGCTTACTTCAATTTTTCAAACAATTAAAGAAAATACTCTAATTAAATAAATGACTGTCTTATATTGAACCAATATTTCGGAAGTTACTAATAATTTAATAAAAAGGCGCGCGGGTATTGTTATAAACGCGACAGTAATTTTCCTTCCCTCTAGGTTTAATAACTTCTGAAATACTGGTCCAAAAGTTGTTATGGACCAGTTATTTACTTAATTAGGTCATTATTTAACAAATAAGCAATATGTTGCTATTTGAAAATTAAAATTAACATCCTAACAATATATAAGGAATGACCTGACAAATATTTTATAAATAATAAATTGAGAAAAATGTGTAACTAAAATAAATCAAAGGTAAAATTCTCAATATTATATAATATTATTTAGATTAGTTAAGTGATTAATAATAAAAGAATCACATTGTATAAATAAATAGGTATATACGCATACTTTTAAATATATACATTTGAACTTGATAATGCAAAGCGATAATAAATAGTTCTTTAGTTTTCTCGCCGTTGTCGTTAAAACCAAATAATTATAGTTATTTTAATTTTTATTTTCTATTATTTAATTTAATCCAAGATACGTTTAAAAACCAAAAGATACGTATATTATACTAGCATTTGTAATATATTTAGACACCAAGGTACTCGACGACACCAAGAAGCTATCCAGTGTCTTCTTCGGTTCCTGAAGTGCGAAGACAACAATATGAATATGTAGTAGAACAACGATCAACGACAAATGGAGGACCTGGTAGCCGATCTTACACAACTACTACTGAACGCGTAGAAAGAAATTCAGGACCTGGTGGATTGACCATTGAACGATCATCAAGGTCTAGTGATGGTGGACCAGGAGGTTATCACTCTTCATACTCTAGCACTACATCGGGTGGAAGACCTGGCACCTACAGACATTTCTCTTACAATGTCTAAGCTTATTAGTTTTTTTAATCAATTTAAACTTATGTTACCAGAAAAATTTACCCACTAATCATTAAATGTATTACAAAAATCGCCGTCGTCCATTAATATGTTTTTAAAGATTATTTATTTATTTATTTTAAATGGTTGTAAATTATTAAGGAAAAATATTTACGTGTATTAAATATTTATTTAAACGTATTAAAACAAATATTTTATTTTTTCTTGTACAGCCCATTTATTCATCTGATGGATACGAGATACCGCCTTCATACTACAAGGTAACATCTTACTATGTTGAATTATCGTGAGGTGTTTTTTATTATTATAGTTAGCAAAAATACCATTTTGTATTTAATATTGTTCATTATATAATTATTAGTAATATCTAACAACAAACATGCAAATGTCCTAAACTCCAAGTTATACTAATAGCATATTCTCTACTGATTTAACACAAAGAGTGACAACGTATACTTCTAAACAACTCCGATTAAAAGAACTCGCCCAAATAAGTTGATAAGCAAAAAATTGCTAATTTATATATCATAAAATAATATTGATAATAATAGAGTTTGTAGAATATTCTTGTACCAGTGCTCACAACTTTTAAGACATTCAAAATCAGATGATTGTTAAAAATTATTTTATAAATAAATTAAAAAAAAAAAAATTATTAAATACACATTTTATTAAATAAAATAAAAAATTTTATAATAAACTAATAAGTCTCAAAAATAGATTTTTAACCAGGACTTGATTAGGTTTATACAATGTTAACATAGACCTAAGATTTTTTTGAGAGAGCTAATTATAATATTTTCCTTTATAAAATATTTTTTATATAAAAGTAAATTTAAATTTGAGGGAAATTAGTTTCAAACTAGAAGCTAAGCCATTCTCACTATACCTATTATTACTGATGAAAAATAATAAACTAAAAAACAAAAACAATGCTGTATTCAGTTGACACGATAATAAACTATATAATATATTATAGTTTTTATAATATTATTATAAAAACATTTAAAAAAAATTGCTCTTATACTTTTAGAAGAATAATTAATTCACCATCATAATGTAATATTTTTCGACTCGAACATATGAACTTCTTATCTCTGCAATTATGCTACTGTCATAATTTTCATTTTAACCAAAAATTAAAAAAAACCTAATTAAATAAGAAAGTTAAATAAAATGAAAAGATTAAAAAAAAGTATTAAATAGTATCCGTTTCATGAATTTTAAGAAATAATAATAGTATTAAACATACTTAAAATGCTAATATATTGGAATTATAATATTTTTATTTTCAACTGATAGCATAGTTAAAAAAATTATATTACCAAAAATAAAATCTTGATTAAAACAATGCAATCTTAAAAGTGTACAAAATTAGTGTCTTGAAAAAAATATCAATCATTTAATGTTGATTTTAAATAGAAATTAGGTAGCAAATTTTTATATTAATGTTTTGTTTTTAAATTTTGAGAGCGTATAAAGTTCATAAAATTTTTAATTTTACGATTATTTTACATGTTTATTATACCATATTAAACGTAAAGTATTTATTATTAAGAAATGTATAAAAGAGAACGGAATCTTTTCACACTAAATATTGGTTATAGGCACAATTTTTTTCCATAAACATCATCATCATTTAATGAGTTAATTAACATGAAATAAAACTTTTTTAAGTATTACTTTATCATAATTTAAAATAAATAGTTGATAATCCAAATTAAATTTCCCCAATACATTACGTTTTTAAAAAATATTTGGATCCCCCGCAAATTTTCTAAATACATTACTGTTTAGTATATTATTTTTAATTAAAAATTTTTCAATATTACTGTATATTTTGACTTTTGATTAAATAATATCAAATATCTTATTATTAAAAAGATAGTAATAATATTATTAAAAGTATTTTTCATTTTATTAAATACTCATTCAAGCAATAATAATTTTCACTTCAAAAATTGTGCCTTAACCTATATTTAGCATAAATAGATTGTGTTCTCTTCTATTTTGTTATTTTAATAACAAAAACCTACGTTAAAAATTATTAAAATAAAAAAAAATAGATACTGTATCAAAACTTATGTGATTTGTCAGATCACGTGAAACCATTATGTATGTATTGAAAAAAAAATACTAGTACAGTAGAGTCGCGGCACAGTGGGGATATGACATAGTTGAGTCAAGTATAATGATATCTGACAGTAATTAAAATCACTATCATAAAAAACGCTCCAATGCAAATCTGTAAATAGTGTTTAATTTTAAAAAATTGATGGATTATTCCAAAAGCTACATGATCTCCTATTTCCTTATTTATATCCTGATTATAAGTTTTATGATTTATAAGTGTATATATGAATAAATAAATATTTATATACAGTGTGATTTTTTTATCATAACCCACTCAATTACTTGCAGAATAATAATAATTTAAACATTTTTTTTTTTCATTATCTTTAGTTACACATTATTCTTGAATTTTTAACTATGTAATACTTTTTAAGTTCATCCCTTATGCCTTGGAGGGGGGTAAACTTTGTTTTTTTAAATGGTAACACATATTTTTAATTTAATAAAATGTTTGAGTTTTTAATTTAATAGTAAATGGCATTTGAATTTTTAATATAACTTTATTAGCTTATTAGATATAAACATTTAAAGTTTCAAAATTTTGAGTTAATATACATGTATAATACACATGGGATTGTAAATACAGGTAGCTAATTGGATTTTTATGACATTGCTGTCTCAGTCACGGATTGTTTATTATCAATTATGATTATCAATAGATATACTTTCTGTATTGTCAGTTAGTGTATTTATAAACTCATAACAATGTGCCTTACTACAATTGATAATAACAATGCTGTGTACCTGCTAATATCGATGTTATAAAAAACCAATTAGCTACCTGTATTTGTAATCCCTTGTGTATTATACCTGTATATTAATTCAAAAATTTGAAACTTTAAATGATTATATCTAATAAACGAATTAAGTTATATTAAAAATTCAAATGCCATTTACTATTAAATTAAAAACTCAAACATTTTATTAAATTAAAAATATGTGTTACCATTTAAAAAAACAAAGTTGACCCCCTTCCAAGGCATAAGGGATGAACTTAAAAAGTATTACATAGTTAAAAATTCAAGAATAATGTGTAACTAAAGATAATAAAAAAAAAAAATGTTTAAATTATTATTATTCTGCAAGTAATTGAGTGGGTTATGATAAAAAAATCACCCTGTATATTTATAATATATTAATATATAAAGGGAAATGGTGTAAAAAAAAAGTATGTCGAATGAAAGAGGGATATAAATATTATTTCCTTTAAAAAAATTGTATTGATCCTACACTTTTCAATAAGTTATAGCATTATAAAGTTAAAAATGTAAAATATAAAAACGAGAATTTTCACACAAAAATAGCATTCGGTAACTATTTTCACCGTGAAGTCCAAAATTTTTTTCTTCATAATGAAGTATTTTACATAAGCTTTAATTTAAGATATATATAAAAGTGTCAGTATTTCCAGAACACTTTTAAAAGTTAAGTTAAAAAAGTTAATTTTTTGTGAAGTAGTTGTCATTTTGAATCCCCCCTGTGGCAGGTAAAGGGACAAATTTATAAAAAAATTTTTTAAGTAAAAAGTTAAAAAGTTTTAATTAAAAAAAATTTTAAAAATGTCGAAAATTAGGGATTTTAAAATTTGTATTTTTTTGGAGATTTCCCCCATTTACTACAAGGAACGAGAATTTTTTTCAAATTTTGAGGGTAATGTCTTCGACTATATATGATTTATGATCTTTTGACGTATCGTTGAAAGAAATCGGTTGGGTGATAGCTGAGAAAAAGTGGTAACACACACAAAAAAAAAAAGTCATCATAGTAAAATTAATACCTTCTCATCTTCGCATCGAAGCTAAAATTTTGTGTAATTGATTTAACATATAATAGTGTATACAGTGAATGATTATTTACACCCTACTCAATCAAAATAAAGGCATAGTAAAACTATAACTAAGTTAATATATGATAATATTAGGATATAATTGGAGTTACAAAAATATTTGACAATAAGAATAAACTAATGTTTGTAGGTTAAATTTGATATTAAACAAATTATCTTTACTAGTTACATAAAAAAAAATTAACTAATATATTGTACCATTAAAATTTATATGAAGTTATTCAAAATACTTAGTATTAAGGTAATTTAATTGGAAGTCTTAAGCAAATTATTCCATTAATTTGTTTTACTCGAATATTTTGTGATTTTACAATTAATGCATTCTATTTACCAAGTTAATAATTTTTTACAACTTATTAAAAGTAAATAGATTGAAAATAAGTGACGAGTTGTAGTTAAAGTTAATCAATTATTTAATTAAATAAATTATATTAAAAGCTTAGTTCAAAAAATCTCATTTATTTAACTAGTTGAGTTTACACAAGTGCTAAGAGGTTTGTACTATATTTATAGACTAATAACATTTTTTGAAGTTCTAAATTTTTTACTTTCAAATTTCTTTATTATACTACAAAATATGTGATTTTTTAAACATAGAAAAAGTGTAAGACATAATTTTACTTTATTTTATCTTCCAAAAATGTATTCATTTTTATGTAAATTATTCAAAATTATGTTATATGGTTGTCGAAACCACGTTTTTATTTTTTTTTGTGTCTGTTACCACTTTTTTTCAGCTCTCATTGGACTGATTTCTTTCAACGATACGTCAAAAGATCACAAATCGTATATAGCCGAAGACATTATCCACAAAACTTGAAAAAATTTCCCTCGTTCCCCGTAAATGGGGGAAATCTTCAAAAAAATTAAAAATCCCTTATTTTCGACATTTTTTCAATTTTTTTAATTTAAAACTACCATAATTATTTCAAAAATAATCAAATTAATATAAATAATTTTTATAGATGCATAATGTCTTTACTTATCTTTTGGTATATTTTTTGTAAATCTGACACTTAACCTGCCCACATGGGGAGATTGAAAATGACAACTTTTTTTAAAATATCTTAAATTCAAGCTAATGTAATATACTTTATCATGGAAAAAAAATTTCGGACTTTATATTGTCTTCACGGTTAAAGGATACATCAAAGTTAATAAAAAAAATACGATTTTTGTAAAAAATTGTTTTTTATATTTTTAACTTTATAATGCTATAACTTTTTAAAAAATGAATAGATCAATATATTTTTTTTTGTAGATTCATGATGTATTTACCTACCATTTGGTATATTTTTTTATAAATGATTTAAAATGACAACTTTTTCACAAAAAATTAACCTTTTCAACTTTTGAAAGTGTTCCGGAAAGTCTGATACTTTTATATATATCTTAAATTAAAGCTAATGTAATATGCTTTATTATGGAAAAAAAAAATTCGGACTTTATTTTGTCTTCATGGTGAAAATAGTTACCTAATGCTATTTTTGTGTGAAAATTTTCGATTTTATATTTTACATTTTTAACTTTATAATGCTATAACTTATTGAAAAGTGTATGGATCAATAAAATTTTTTTATTAGAAATAATATTTATATCCCTCTTTCATTCGATTTACTTTATATTAATCAGGATATAAATTTGGAAATAGGAGATAATGTAGCTTTTGAAATAATCCACCATTTTTTTAAAATTAAACACTATCTACAGATTTGCATCGGAGCGATTCTTATGATAGTGATTTTAATCACTGTCAGATTAAATCTATACTGAGCCCAATTATGCAACGTCACCACTGTGCCGCGAACCCCCTTTTAATATGAAACACATTATTAAATTTTTTAAATAAATATTTTTTTATTATTTCTTGAGATAATGTAGTTTTCAAAACCTATTTCTACCGTTAGTTTTACAAAATTAGTACGAAATATAAGTTAATTCGATGTTAATTGAACAAAAGAGATATTAAGATAATATGAAATCTAAAATTTGTAATTAAGCTTATAAGTTTAACGTTTATGTCTAACTTTGGTATTTACTTTTAATCACACAAGTGCATCCTTAAGAACATATTTTCTTGATAAGTAACATTTTTTTGACTAACCAAAATTGATCAATAAATACCAGTCAACATAAATTGGATTTATGACTCTAGGGGATGAATAATTTTGTAATTACTCTTCAACGGGTTAGTGTTTGAGAAAATTGTTTAAATTACCAATTTGTATATTTTAAATAAAATGTATTATTATTTTTTTTATAATCTATTGGCTATTGGTATATTCCACCTTGGTCGTCTTATAGACGGTCTATAATTTTCGTCATATTTGGGGAGTATGATTTATACGCTTGTACACCTTAAAAAAAGTACTGCTTTCCTTCATTTTGTATACTAAATAAGTAATTATTTTTGTAAATACTCTTTTACAGTACTGAAACTGAATGAAAAGATCATACGTATCTTCGTGATGGGTGTCATAAATCTTTAATAAAAATTATAGCCCATGAACTTTTTACGGAAATACTACTGAGTGTGTGTTAAAATAAATGATAGAGAAATAATTATCCTAGCTCATAGAGTTTCGTTAATAGTTTAAGTTTAAGCTTTGCCTCTCCAACTTACCTTATTTACTCCCCTCGGTAAAAGTAAACATTAAATAAAGAAATTATTTTAGGTAATTTTTTCTTAAAATTATTTATCCTCGCCAAAGTTTAAATGTATTTGTATGTAAATCCAAAAAATATAAATATTTAAAAATCTTTAAACTTATTAAAGTTTTATACTTAGAATCTTTGGGTATATATGAATTAATCTTAACCTATGGTCAATTACAGGCTCATCAAGTTTATCAAACTAGTCCATTTATCATGACACCTATAACTTCAACAGCGAAACCATCCTCAAATGTTTTACCTTACAATTATAGGTATAGACCAACTTCTGTACCTCATTATCACTACAGAAATGGAGCTGCAATTCATGGTGTATTAGACAAGATTGAACACAAGCACAGATCGCATCCTGGTTACGATGCAACTGATGAATATTTAAATACGAAGAGTGCCACGGTAAAGTTTAATTCAAAATTTTAGTGTAATAATTAAAAAGGACAAATAATTTAACTATTTATTATATACATTTTAAAATTACCTAATATTCGTATACTAATATTACAAATTTAATTTACAGAATTTTGATGATGTAACGAGGTCAATACGGGCTCAAACTGCTGGATTATTAAAGCAAATATATGCTCCAACAATAAGACCAAAATCTTATTCTCAATATAAGTAAGTATGAATGTAAAATATTAATGGTTCGAATAGAAAATATGAAACGTTTATTTATATCACCATGTACCGTATAGTACACATACTGGTTATATGGAACTACCTATAGCTGAGCGTATTGAATCTGACGCATACATTGAGGCCATATTGAGAGACTCTCAAAACCATCATTACGATACCATAGGTATGTACACTTTATATTAGATTACAGAGACTTCTAAAATTGATTCAAATGCATCAGTGAATAAATAAAAAATTATGAAAAATGCTACTTTTAGGACCATTTAAATGTTTATCTATTTTATGAGTATAGTCTTTAATAATTGTGTGAACATTTTTTTAAATAATATATTCAGGGTGTTCAACATCAAATACTATAACTTTTAATCCACTGAATGTATTTTGTTATTTTATATCTTTAATAATATTTACAGTTTTAATTATGTTAAAATCATATTTTTTATTATTCATTACTAATAAGAAATTTTTTTTAATTTTTGAAGTATAACTACTTAACAGAAAAAAGGAAATTATCGGGCGACACGGTCGTCATTACGACCGGCTGTCATGGACGGATCCTATGCTTTTATTAGGTATACAGTAAAAATTTTATTGTTCCATTAACGTAAACGTTCGTCAAATAGAATCTATTGTTCTATTAAATATACGGTAAAAATTCTATAGTTCGATGAACGTATAAGAAACATGTAAAAATCAAATAATACAATAAATCATTGTGCTAATGGAATATGAAAAAAAAAAATTGGTATGTTGTTTTTCTCATAGTGGTACATTTTTGAAATGAAACTTCTTTACAAAGGGTTCAAAAAACAATTCGCGGTTGGCTGCCACGTTAGGCCATCACGGACGGATTCTATTGTTTTATTAGGTATACAGTCAACATTTTACTGTACAATGAACGTACAACTTCAGTAAACGTGTACGATTAATAATAAATGTGAGCGTTCAATAAATGAAATATTGTAAATATTTTGAATTTTAAATTCATTTTTTAAATTTCATTCAACTTGATTTTTAATATTACAGTATTTATTTTTAATTAATATATTACATTTTAATAACAATAATTTATTATTAATATATATTACTTTACACTTAATTTAAAATTACCCAACACAGTAGGGACGTGGTATAGTTGGGTCCAGTATAGATGATATCTGACAGTGATTAAAATCACTATCATAAAAAACGCTTCGATGTAAATCTGTAGATAGTCTTTAATTTTACAAATTGGTTGATTATTCTAAAAGCAAAATTAACTCCTATTTCTATCATTATTCCTAATTAGTAGTTGATTAATAAGTATATTATATAAATAAATTGAAGTATGAAAATGATAATTAATAATTTAATATTGTAATTTTTACGGAGAAATTATAAAAATTTTAAAGTAGTAGTTACTTATATGACAAACGTGTTTAATAATTGAACTTTTCAAAAGATAATTTGTTGTTAATAAATGAATAAATAGTTTACAAGGAATTTTCATCAGAGTAAAAAATATACTTTTATTATTCAATTTTTTGCACTGATTTCAAATCTGCAATTTAATTTTTTCTATCACCAATAATTTTTGATATTTTACTAATTATTTAAAATTATAGGATATAACTATAAAGAAAATAGTTCTGAATATTTAAACCATCTATGCCATATTCTATTTATTTATCATATTCAATTGTACCACCTATTTAAACACCAAGAGTTACATTATTCATATTTCTTTTTAAATGATTTATTACAATAAAAAAATAATTAAAACACACAAAAATTTTTAATTAATTATTACAGATTTTGTTCTTTAATATTTTAAAAATAATCAGTACAAAATATAACCTATTTTGGTATTTTAAAGTTGATTTTTGAAAAGTTCATAATAAAAAAAGTTGAATTTGTTACCATAACTTTTAGCTCAACTTCAAGTTTGAAATTTACATTATTAAATAGAAAACTTTATAAGAATAAAAAAACTAGTATTGTTAAAATTAATATGCAGTCAGGGAATTATACAGAGTGTTCAGTAAGTCAGGAAACGGGTTTCTATTNTGATAAATTTACTGTCTATAGTAATTATACAGGGTGTTCAGTAAGTCAGGAAACGGGTTTCTATTGTTCTCATTGTTACAAACAATGAGAACAATAGAAACCCGTTTCCTGACTTACTGAACACCCTGTATAATTACTATAGACAGTAAATTTATCAGAAAAGCACAATATTTTTTTTAAATTTTTATTATAATTGATCACTTAAATAGAAAGCATAGTAATCATTTCTTAGTAACTTTTGGTGTTTAAAAAGATGTTACAATTAAAATAAGCAGAACTGAATTAATTTTTTATGATTTACTTTAGCTAAAAAAACCAATCAAAATCTTGTTAAAAAAATCTACTCAATTGAGTGTATAAGTTGGATAATTTGATGTATCATTAAAAAAATTTTGCCAAGTGAGAGCTAAGAAAATGAGAGCCATAAAAAAAAAATCAAATAGTAAAAAAACTTTAATATGAATAAGAAATTTCATCAAACGAGGGAGACTGCAGTGATTGGATCCTTGATATTTATTAAAATTATTGAATTTAAATGAGATTAAAATCATATAATTTAAAAAATTTTTTCTAACTCAAAAACTTTTGTAAAGTATTTTTTATAAATAAAAATAAAAATATAATGAAAATAAAATATAAAATCGAGAATTTTCACACAAAAATAACATTCAGTAACTATTTTCACCGTAAAGATAAAATAAAGTCCGAATTTTTTTTTTTTTTTATAATAAAGTATATTGCATAAGCTTTAATTTAAGATGTATATAAAAGTGTCATTTTCTGACACTCTGCGCTTGGTGTACATGGAAAACGAGTATTTAGGGTTGATAAATATTTATTAGTCAACAGTTTTAATTAATTTAAATTAATTAAACTCATGATAAAATTACATTATGGGATAAATAAATTGATATATGGACACGACCTGTAGAACTGGTTCATAATGGATATTATTCTTACGCAGTCGCGTTTGTTAGTCGTCGATATGGTGGTGCACCTTTTGCATACAAAATTTTATTAAACCATTTAGGATTGGATTCTCCCAATGGTTATACAATAACGGTCATTTTGAAGTTCATCTTCCTGTATCTGATACTGAACGTGCACGACAACATCGTATAAGGAAACGTAAAGAAATATAGCTAAATAATCCAAATTCTACATTGACATTATCACCTAGTTCTATTATATTCAATTTACATAATTTCATCCGTACGTACTTGTCACACGCACTCAGTGAAACTTATTTATAGAGGGTCTGAAAAAAACAGATTAACAAGCGTCACGGTCGGCCATGGTCAAAGATTTTTAGAATTTCAAAGAAACGTAACCGAAATCACGCCAAACTGTTCTAATGAAAGATTTGCCGTTTATTCGATTTAAATAAACATTTCCCTGACAACCTATTAAATGTTTACACTTTATTTTTACTAGCCAATATAATCTAATATTAAATTAAGTGTTTTAATAGACAGGGTTTTATTAAATTCACATAACATTTGAATGTTGAAGTAAAAAGAGGTAAAGGAAGACCAAAAAAGAGATGGAGGGATACTATTGAATGCGATTTGAGGACAGCTGATGTGGGAGATCGTGTCAAGTAGAAGTTTAGGATAAGAGTGGCCGACCCCAAGTAGTTGGGATTGAGGCGAGGAAGAAGAAGAAGAAGAAGAACATTTAATATCAATAGATGCCATTTTCACGCGATATCTTCATAACGAAAGAAGTTTCACTTCACCCGCGCATACTTGTAACAATTAATAAAAGTATATACACACTAAACTTAGTGCGTGTTACGAGTACGAGCGGATGAAGTGAAACTTTATTCAGAGTCATTCAACTGATAGAATATTAGGTTTATATTGGGATAAAATTTTAAAAAATACACGTAAAAACTTTATTTTCAATTGAAATTAATATATTTTATTATTATTAATTATATTTTTCCATGCGAAATAAAATATAATAAGCTTATGGTAATTGAAATAAGTAATGTAAATTTTCGATTGGATGTTATTAATATATCGAATGAAAATTGCATCTGTTGTGGTTCCTGAAGGAGTTGTTGGAGTTTTTGGTTCATTATTCATTGATAAATTGAAATTTTCACGAAAAAAAATGATTTAATGGTTCTGATCTATCTAATGCGAAATTAACATTAAAGTCTTCACTTAGAATCTAAGGCAATTTATCTTCTCTCCTGCCGAGTAATGTTGCACCTTCAGTAATATAGGTAAGCAGCGATCTATTTAAAAAATAAACTATATAATCTATTTTTAATTTGGTGAGACATAAAATGCTACAATGATGATGATTTGTTCTTTTGCCTTAAATACATAAAAATCACCGACCGGGGTACTTCTTGAACTATATAATTGATATTGTCCTATTTTTATTTCAATCGATGGAGTGACAATATTAATTATACCGTCATTATGATGATAAATAGCTACTCTATATCTGACATTTGGTCACTTAAATTTAACGATACAACTAAAATTCGGGATTATAGTATTCTCGTTTTCATGTTCCCAGGTCTCGGAGAAAATTATCATTTTCGAATTTTGAAGGACGTACCAAGAATGTCTAATGAATGAGCTTGGAGACTGACAATTTAGACTATAAATTGACATTTACGATTGGTCCTTAATAAAATCGTTTAATTATCTATCAATTGTGACTAAAGAGCGAGTGGAAAATTTTGTAAATTCATTATGAAAGCGCCTCGTAGAATCCGATTTTTCCTTCCTTTATCAGCACTGTTACCCATTGAATCTGCGTTTTTGAAGTGTTTTTTCGGTAACCTGAACTTGTCATCATTGTCCATAATTATTATCCTCGGGGTTACAGAGCTTATTACAGAATTACAGAGTCTGGCAAAATAATAAAATTTTTATACACAATCAAAATTATTTTTTTAAATTAAATTATTCAATACATTTTAAATCAAATTACTTTAATTTTCGAAAATATAGTGCTAAATAATAATATAAAATATACTATACAGCTGACCGTGACCGACCATTATACCGTCCGTGACGCTTGATAATATGTTTTTTTCGGATCCTCTATAAAGAAGTTTTACCCCAATAATACTCTATAAATATTTTTATTTTATTAATAATATTAAATTAATATTATAGAAACCTAAACTTGTTGTCTGGAAAATAATATACAAAGTGATTTTTTTTATCATAACCCACTCAGTTACTTACAGAATAAAAAAAAACCCAGCACAGTGAGGTCGCGGCTTAGTGGGGACGTGGCATAGTTGGATCAAGTATAATGATATCTCACAGTGAATAAAATCACTATCATAAAAAACGCTTCGATGCAAATCTGTAGATAGTGTTTAATTTAAAAAAATTGGTGGATTAGTCCAAAAGCTACATGATTTTCTTTTTCCTTAATTATATCCTTAGTTTTAGTTTTAGTTGATATCGAGGTGAACATAATGCCCATGCACTCAGACCTATTCGTCCATTTTGCGCACCTCATACCGAATTGTCTTGATTCGGTTTACCCACAAAGTGTTATCACCGAAGTGTTAATACATTACCAATCATAAAGTCACCTCTAAAGATGACCAAAAAGTCCTATCTTTCTGGGTTTTGGGTTTTTAATATCTTATTTTTCAGGAAAAGGTTTATTCAAGTAGTTTAATCCTAGTGTGGACAAGGCTTCACATTCGCACATGATGTGAAATGAGTCTTCTTTTTCTACTCCACACTTCCTACACAATGGTGATTCCGATATCCCCATTGCGTTAAGATGTTTAAGCAGGTGACTATGTCTTGTCAGTAGACCAGTAAGGGTGCTTATTTAAGGTCTAGTCATGCTATTAAGATTACTCAGCAATAGACCAGGGGTCTTGATAAACATTTTAGATTGTCTAGGTACTACCAAGTACTTCCAGATTTTCCTGTGTTGTTCTGTGCACCAATTAATGGGTAGCAATTTGAGCGATTGCTCAATGAGTTCTACCACTGGTTCTGGTCCAACATGGGTGTTCTCTGCTCCTTTCCTGGCTAGAAAGTTAGCATTTTCATTTCCAGTGATTCCGTTGTGTCCTGATATACCCACGCTAGTGTAACTTTGTTGAACCTCGATAGTGATTCTAAAGTTTCCCTGCATTTGAGGATCAGCTTTGAATTCACCTGATCGTTACAGAGTGCCTTCAAAGCCGCTTGACTATCACTTAAGATAGTTATCTTCTTATTTTTGATACTAGCAGGTTCTGAACCTCTACCAGTATCGCCATCACCTCTGCTTGGAAAACAGATATTTATTACATTAACATTTAGCACAACTTGCAAGTTTGAAATTGACATTATTAAATAGAAAAAANAAAAAAAAACACATCATAGTAAAATTAATACCTTCTCAGCTTCGCATCGAAGCTAAAAATGAAATTGTTAAGATTAATATGCAATCAGGGAATTTTAAAATTACTATTTACAGTACATTTATCAGAAAAGTTAGATTTTTTTACATTTTTATCGTAATAGACCACTTAAATAAAAATCATTTTTTTTTTTTAATTTATGATTTATAAAGAAACATGTTACAAAAAAATTTGGAATATTATAAACTGGTAGTAACACACACAAATAGAGTTAAAAAATTAATAAATTACAAAGTAAAATTATTTACTTTTGTAGTTGAATACTTTTATCATATCAAATCTAATTCGACAATGAATACTTTAAGAATATTAGAAATTAATGATTTTAATTGTTTGTATGGAAAAGGCTGGTTAAGCTACTTTTTATTTGAATAAGGAATATTTTTTCAATTTTTAAGAGTAATAACTTAAACTAAATACGAATTGTAATCATTTGACGTATCGTTGAAATAGTAGGTCTAGTGAGGATTAGCAAAATAAATCGTAGCCACAAAAAGAACCATATAGTAAAATAATAATAACATGAATATAAATTTCTTCTAACAAAGGGAGACTATATTGATAGGATTTTTTATATTTATTGAAGTTATGAGATAAATATCAAATGATTTGAAAATTTTATTCTAACTCAAAAAAAATGCAAAATATTAATAGCCACAGATGGATTTGAACGTACCGTAAGCATTAATGACACAAATGATACCGACACGACAACTTATCATTGCTTTCGTCACATTATAAAATGGGCTATTTAAGCTAACTCAAATTTAAAAATTACTTTTTCGACTTTAAAAAAGTAAAAAAATTTTAATAAGTTTAATTTTTTATGTTTTATGAACTTTATTTTATATCAATTAAATTATAAAATATTCATGAAAGTCAGTGTATTGCCCTTAAAAGATATTTAAAAAAAAAATAAACTACACCCAAAGAAAAACCTCAATCAAAATTGAAAGAGAAATTTTATCAAGGGTTTATGATAATGTTTTATTAATACGAACAAAATAACTATTCTTATAAATAATTATTGTTCAAGACAAGAAAAAAAAATATCATATTGATAAATATATCATTGATTCAATAGTAATGATATATTTATCAAATTGAACAATTTGGCAGCCATTTGCGCATAGAATATAGGTCATTGGGATAAATTTTTTTTTTAAATTTTATAGTACATGATATAAGCTTTAATTTGACATATGTTTAAAGGACGCAGTATTTCTGGAACATTTTCAAAATTTAAGTTAAAAAAGTTAGTTTTTGTAAAAATGTTGCTAAATCCCCCCTGTTAGCAGAATAAGTGTTAGATTTTCAAAAAAAAAATTATATCAAATGAAAGGGAAATATCTAAGGTTTTAATATAAAAAAATATTATTTTGAATGTTAATATTTGAAAAAGTTGTGGCAGTTTTAAGTACAAAAAACATCCCGATAAAAAGTGATTTTTATCGCAAACATTACATTTTTTTTTTAATTTCGACAGCCATTAGCACATAAGAGATAAGGTGTCGGGACAAATTTTTTTTTTCATTTTATAGTAAATAACATAACCATTGATTTGATATATGTTTAAAGGACGCAGTATTTCCGGAACATTTTCAAAAGTTCAGTTGAAAAAGTTCTATGTTTTATACAATGTTTTGAACGCCCCCTTATAAGGGGAAATTGTCCAATTTTAATAAAAAGTATGTCAAATGAAAGATGTACTAATAATGTATTTAGAAAAAAAAATTTGTGCTAATAATTACATTTTCCGAAAAGTTATAGCATTTTTAAGTTGAAAATTAAAAATTGTAAATCGAAAATTTTAACACAAAAATATCGTTTTTTTAACTACGGCAGCCGTTTACATGCAGAAGATAAAGTGTCAAATTTTTTTTTTCATTTTATAGTACATAAAATAAGCTTTAATTTAAAGTATATATTTAAAGGACGCAGTATTTCCGGAACATTTTCAAAAATTAAGTTAGTTATTGTAAAAAAGTTACTATTTTAAATCCCCCAGTGAGCAGGTTAAGTGTTAGATTTTCAAATTTTGTAATTTTTTTTTCAAGAAGTATTTTTTAAGTTACGAATATTTATTACATGGAGAGAGTATTTAGTGCGGTGAAAGTATTCATATATCTGTACGGACTAAACTAACTAGTACTACATACATTTATTAAAATGCTTGTAACTGAATAAATACTTATCCAAAATTGTTACGATCCATAAAAACTTTTTGTAAGAAAAGAAATAAAAAATTAACTCTAAAAAATAATAAAATGTATATATATTTTTTTCTCATTAGAGTAATAAATAATTTAAAATATGTTTGTAACATAATCCAAAACTGTAAAAATTATTTGAAAAGAAAGTAACAAAATATCTTTAGTGAATCAAAGTTCATAGAATTCGTCAGATCAGGTTTGGCCACTGAATGTATCTAAACGTTATAAAAAGTTTCATTTGGATAAGGTCAGTTTTATATAAGAAAACAATTTTTTTTTAAATAAATTTGTTTTTAATTTATAAATATCTTATTATCAGTGGTATTAAAAACTACGTGTAATTCATAGGTAAAGGTCATCTTGCATGCGTAACATATGCTGGTGGAAAAGCTATTCCACGTAGAAGACCAAGATTATCTGGTGATGCAGAAGTTGATAATAATATTATCATGCTTTCATATTATAATAAAACTAGAGAAGCTGTTGCAGCATCTTCAGATCGTCCTAAAGTAAAAGTAGACACTCCAGCAAAAACGTATAATCAACATACTGATGAAACAAGTATCATTACAATATTTTCATGATAATCCTTTTATTTGTATAATTTTGTACACTATAGTGATTTTATATATTTTAGGAAAAACAGTTCAGTTTGAAGACGAAAAATCCTCAAAGACAGAAAATGATAAGCGAGCAGCAGAAGAAGTTGCATGTAAAAAAGAAAAACGATTGACAGAGGAAGCAAGAAAAGAAGAAGAAGAAAAAGAAAAATTGTTGGCTGAAGAAGAAGCTCGCAAGGCGGAAGAAGAACGATTAGATGCAGAAAGAAAAGCTCGTAAAGAGGAGGAAGAAAGACTTGCTGCAGAAGAAAAAGCTCGTAAAGAGGAGGAAAAAAGACTAGCTGCAGAAGAAGCACGCAAAGAAGAAGAAGAACGATTGGCTGCAGAAAAAGCACGCAAAATTGAAGAAGAACGATTAGCAGCTGCAGAAAAAGCACGCAAAGAAGAAGAAGAACGATTAGCAGCTGCAGAAAAAGCACGCAAAGAAGAAGAAGAACGATTAGCAGCAGAAGATGAAGCACGCAAAGAAGAAGAAGAACGATTAGCAGCAGAAGACGAAGCACGAAGAGTTGAAGAAGAACGATTAATTTTAGAAAAATCTAAGGCTGTTACCGAAGACGTTTCCGAGGAAGAGACTGACGAAGAAGTGGAAGAAGATACTAAAATAGTTACTACAAATGTTAGAAATCATTTAGGTAGTAGTTTAGCAAATCAAAATTCTGATGCTTCAACTGAGCATCACGAAGAGTCATATTCAACATTGGAAGAAGTAGACGGCGGTACAGTTTCAACAACAGTCTTTAGACGGGCAACAAGGACTACCACGACGACCTCGTCAACTGTCGTACATTCCGGAAATGAAAATGATGAAAGTAGCGGTGTTGAAATTGAAGAAGTAGTAGAAAATGAAGAAGTTTCAGGGGATGAACATGCTGTAGCCGATGGACAAGAATGTGAGGACTTAGAATCTTCCGATGACGAGGAAGAAATTAAGACCGAAGGAGGTGAAACAAAAACAGAAGAGGAATACTTTGAAGAAGAAGATGATGATGAAGAGGAAGAAGAAGAAGAAGAAGAATAATGATAAAAAAAATTTTTTCCAATATATTCTAAGCATATTGTTATACAAAAGCATTTATTTAATTACTGTAACTTTCATTAATTATTAATGTTATTGCATTTTTACAAGAACAAATTTTATTTATTTATTTATTTATTTATTTATAACAGTAAAATTTGTAATAATATTAATATGATAACTATTGCAAATATTATAATAATATAAAAAATATATTATAAATTTAATTACATGTTTATTATGTTTAACACTGTTTTATCAGTGAATTATAGTCGAAACTAGGGGGGGAATGCTCACAAAATTGAGAAAAAAAATAGTTTTTATTATACAAGCTCTTCAATATTTTTATTTTAGTTAAGTCAAAAATTATAATATTTGAAAATTAATGATATAGATTTCATTATTTTTAGTAAGACTTCGGATAGGGATAAAGAAGTAACGTTGTTTTGAACAAAAAAAAAATTTACTTTTAAATATGTCTTCGAAATTTTTAATTAATATTCGATTTGATGTTAAATAAGAGCATTTTAAAACACACGTACATACCGAGTGTATTGTTTTTATATAACATATTTAAGAATAAAACTATCATACCATAATTACAAAAAATTTAACAAACTCAATAAAAATAATATGAACCCGAAAAGTAGTAAATTCTTAGTAAGCTTCATTGCTCCCATTATCACATTCTCGTGTTTTATTTTTAGTGTTTTTACTTATTTATATTAATTTATCATAAATGTTTATTATTGCTATAATAACTTACAAGTATATATTATGTAAAATGTATCACAAATATTAAGTTTGTGATATTTTGTGTTTTTTTATTATATAATTTCTTTTGAATTTTCAGCAAGATATAAAAAAATTATTTTAATAATATAAATTTAAAGAAAATAAATAAGTTTCATTTGATTAATTTAAATTTCCTACACTCAACATGAAAATTGAATAAAATGTTTGACCACAATTTTATTTTGCTAAAAACCTGATATAAGTAATCGTAAAATGGGTCAAAAATATACTAGGGTGGTCCACTAAAAAAAAACTGAAGAATCGCCACTGCCTTAATTATATTAATATTTATAGTTATCAATAAAAAAGTAAAAGAAAGTTTTGTAACTCTAACCTTTGTTAATTAATTATTATTTCAGTTATGAAATTTAAATTATAATTTATCATAATCCATTGGTAGCTAGAACGTTTTTATTATAAGGGGTAACCCCCTTCATTTTAATATACATATTAGTTGAATATTAAATATTGCAAAAGTCTTCGCTGAAAATATTTATAGTTAACACTTAAACCTTTATTTTTTAATTTATTTTTTTTTGTAAAGGAGGGACGTACTTCCCCACTTTTAAGACCATTTTATTAGATTTAAAGTGTTGGCATAAATAATGGAAAAAAAGTAGAATATTAAACATTAAATAATATACTTATACAAGAAACAACAAAATTTTTGACGAACTTGTGAATGTTAATGGAATGTACACTTATTATATGTAGTCACATCGGTAGTAGGATAATAACATTACACAATAGTAGTTAGCTGTCGTTATTACCTCTAACGCTCTCTATTTACTTAAAACAGGAAAGAAGAGTTACACAACAGATGTTATTATTACCACTATGACTGAACATATATATGTTGGTAGTTGTAGGAAGGGAGGTAGAAAAAGTTTATTAAACAGTTGTGCATTGTGAACGGGATATTAATAATTTTACTTTCAGACTTTAGAGCCTCTAGATGTAAAAATCTGAACTACGCATATTTTTTGAGCGGCACTTAATTAATTCCTATTATACTAAATAACCTTAAAACTATTTTGAGATGAAGTTAATCTCTTTATAAGATATAAAATAGTTAATTAAAGTATATAATAAGAACTATTTTATCTTCTATAGAGGTTTAAATGTATCCTTATCAAAGTCATTTTTGTTTTAATTTCATTTATTATAAATATAATTATAAATATATAATTTTACAGGATTTTAAATGTTTACGTTTACTACAGTATAACTTATGTAAATTATTAAGTTTTTTATCTAATAAAATGTATTAAATTTTAAACATTTCAAAAAATATACAATTCCATTTAGTTATCAATTTACCTCCACAAACTAATCCACCTTCATTATGGTGGTATCCCTACTGTAACTAACACCGTGTACCACTACTACACCAGCGCTCCATCATCACTACTCCTTCTTCGACCGCATACCGTACGCTTGTGTTGTTTTGCTGATATTGTTTGTTATTATAACGAAGTTAAGAATATTTTGCGTTGCTTTTTGAAAACATATTCAACTAATTTATTAGAATTTGGTTGCTGGTAATATTTTTGTGTGTATATATTTTATCTGCCTTTATCAATATGATAGTTATTTGGGAAACTTGACAATTTATCAAGGAATTATACGTTGCAAATGCCTCACAATGATGGCGACGATCAGCCCCTGGTACTACTCCGCCGGCTAGCGCCAGAACAGATTGACCAATTAAGCAGCCGCAAAAGGCGGCCACGACATTAGTAAGTAATTATTACTTATTTTGTGTACTTTATTGAAACTAATGCGATAAGATATACTTAATTGTGGTTGTTCTTTAATTGTTATTGTAGTATGGGAAATAGTGTAAGTAATGTAAATGGCGAAGTTCATAGTGATGGAATGCCTCCAAATATCAATGGCCATAATCATGAAGAAGTTGACTGTAGTGAGAATATTGTTAAAGTGAATGGTCACGACAACATTATTGTGAACAAAGCTTTTCAGATGGCTCAACATTCAAAGAGCTGCAGCAGTACAAATACAGTTGTTAGTGGTTTGAGCAAAAAACAAATTATCAATAGTGTTAGCTATGATGCTGAAATTTCTAGTACGGTACATTCAGTTGTATGTCCAATTGATTCTGTAAAAGTAAGCCTATCTTAATTTTGATAATATCTTGTAATAATAACATGTTGTAATTTAATTATAGAGTAATGTAGAAGCAACAAAAGAAAATACAATATTGGAGGTTGAAAATACTTCACCTAAAATAGTACATAACAAACCAAGAGGAAGACCTCCACGAAACCGTACTTCTGAAACTATCAAACTCAATAGTGATACTGACTTAAAGTATAATCATGTTGAAGAAAGTGAATCTAATGTTCATTTAACAATTAATAAACCACAAGACTATGAAGTTATTCAGTCTCCGCGTAAAAGGAAGTATTCATCTGAAGATCATGAAGATAATGCACCTTTAAAGTGTGCAATTATCCTCCAAGAAGAACCAAAAAAAAAGGAAAATTATGGTTTTTTAGCAGGGTATAGTTCATTTCTCTATCCTCGTTTAGATTCTTTATACTTACATACTTATTGGCCAGTTAATTGGGCATATTCTGCTCAATCATTGACTGGTCATGTAATGAAAAAGTCTTCTAAACAAGCTCTACGTAAAATACGACAAATCATATCTAACAGCAATAATGATAATAACTTTTTATCAAAATCTGTCTCTAACGAAAGTGTACCAATAGCGTCAACAATGTTAGGGGCAACTGTTAATTCTATAACATCAGTACATCTTAAAAAAACTGATAGTAATCAACAACCAATTCGTAGAGGACGTCGTAAAGTATTAGTACCTGACAGTAATAAAGACTGTGGTATTAGAAAAAAAATGGGAAGACCTCCAGGTCGTAATAAACATTTAAATGGTGTACTTAAAGGGAACAGTCCTAGAAAGTCACCCAGACAGCATGCTTCAACACTTGCAGCAAAAGCTACTAAAGCTAAAATTATAACCGTTGATGAAACAAACATTAATGTGTTGTCTGAAGAATCTCCTCCATCACCATTACCTCCCAGACTAGATGCTTCTGTTGATTTTCCTCAAATGTCTCAAAGACAGCGTTGTAGAAAATCTGAATCTATATTAAAACGTACTAGTGGCTATAGACACCGTACACCTCCTCCTCCCAAATTATGTCCTCAACAAAATGATAGAAATGGAGAAGTTAAACTTCGTACAAAACATGTAGATGTTGTAAGGCGTAAAGTTAGAGATGAACGAATACGTAATTTATTGCAAACTCAACAGCTTGCATCTATTAGAGATATTGCAGAAAAGAATCGACAAGAGTTAGCAAAAGAACAAGAAGAATTAATTGAATCTGATTGTGAATATTCATCAATCATATTACCATCTAGTGATCAACAAAAGTGGAATACATTTGATATTGATGGAATGAATAACATGTGTGCACAGATAATGTATGAACAAAGTGCAGATAAAAGATACTTACTTCAGACTTTGCCTCAAGATTTAATAAAGGTTCTACAACGTTCCATAGTTGTAGCCAAATCTCGACGAATGGGAGATGATTGCTATCTAAGTGAATCAAGTACACCATTATCTTTGTTTGATGCGAGAAGAAGACGCAATCGATTCTCTAGAAAGAAGAAACAGAATATGACAGGATGGCCAAAAGAAAAGCGTAGAAAAGCACCAGTTCCTGTTTCTGAAAATATTACTGATACAGAATTAGATGAAAATATAAAATCTCCCAAGAAACGAAGAACATCCGCTAAAGTTCAAAGAAAAAAACTTAAAAGAATAAAATTACAACAAGTGACTAAATCACCTAAGAGACGGCAATCTAAAAAAGTGAAGTCAGTTGTTTCTCCAAGAAACAAGGGAGGACGCCCACGTAAACAAGCCATTAAAATAAAGAATAGTACTATTATTAAGAATAGTTCATCACAATCTACAAAATTGAATTCTCCTTTAAGTGATGAACACAGAAGTACTACTAGAAAACCTAGAAGTACACCTGGACGGCCTAGAGGTACACCAGGGCGACCTAGAGGTACACCTGGACGACCTAGAGGTACACCAGGACGACCTAGAGGTACACCAGGACGACCAAGAGGTAGTGTGGGTCGTCGTAGACGACGGATAAAAAAATTACATGATGACACTGATACAGACAGTCCTAGCAATCCGAGATGTGTTCTATCTGATAATCAGTGTATTAAATTACTTAAACGGAATAAAAGAACTGAAACTGCAGAATCACCTCATCATCTGACAAGACGACGTAAACAAGTGGCGTCAACCAGTTCTTGGGATGAAGGGGGAAGTCGATCTAAACGTTATAGAGCTGCAAGTACTGCAGAAGAAGCTTTTGTTGGCTCTCAACCATTTGAACAACATTGCCCATCAGATTCGTGTGTAATGAAATCTACCATTGACAATGATTCATAATTTATGTACTTTTTTTTAATTTTTATTTATATTTTTTTATATTTTTTTCGTGTAGCTCATCATATTAAAGACTTTGCTGCAGTTCCTTTTTGTATATCATTCCTTATATATAATAATGTACATAGCTAGTGCCATTATGTAACTGTATATATACACTCATAGTTAATTTATTAAATATGTAATTAATCTTTATACATAGAAAAATTACTAAACAAAATAATAAAATAAATTTAATTAATAAATTATTTAATTATTTAAAATAAATAATTGTGTTTTGTTTTTAATTGTAGTTTATATCATGAGTATATTAAAGCCCTAGTTCAAAACTTCAATACCTCAAAATAATAATGATCATTTTTATTTTATTTACTTGAATAATAGAGAAAAATAGCTATATGTATAAGAATGATTAAAACCCTTTGTAATAATAATGAACAATTATTTTATTAAAAAAAAAGTTATTTTAGCTTTGAACCAGGGTATTTATATAGTAACTATATTACACCTTTATATTTATGAATAGAAATAAAATAACTGTAAAGAAAGTATACTCAATATATTTTAAAAGTGTAATATTTAAATTTATAATAAGTATTCTAACTAGTCAAGGTATGACAAAACCATTATATTGCTTAAATATCATATATTCAAAGATTTATTGAAGGCTCAATATTATATGAAATAATTTCAGTATTTAATTCAATTATCAAAATTTTAAATGATGTTATGAACAATGAAATATATTATATTAATATTTCTTTGTAATATTATTAAAAATAATGACCCTGATTTTTTACATTCTTTTCATTTTTAATGTAGTCATTTAGCCTTCCTATTTGATATTTAAATTTTTGATTATGTTTAAATTTGTCTTTTTCTCTTTGTCAAGCTTAAGTTTAATGTTTCATTTTTAGTTAATAGATATTTTTAAGTTGTCCAGTTAACTGTCTAATACATAGGTCGGCAACCGGCGGCCCGCGGGCCGTATCCGGCCCGCGTGGCTATTGAATACGGCCCGCTTTAAATTCTAAATCGACTAATTTAATTGAATATCATTTTGTATAAATATAATTGAACGTTGCGTTTTTGGTACGGGTATTTTATATAAGTCATATTATTATTTTAAGTTTTAGATAGTATTTTTTTGCATAATAAATAATGTAATTATAAATTTTTTTTTTTTATCTGGCCCGCGAACTCTTTTTAATTTGTAAATATGGCCCGAGAATTAAAAAAGGTTGCCGACCACTGGTCTAATACATATTGTATTTTTTGGGCTATTGCCTGTATAATTTATAATAAATAAATAAATAAAATAAATAAATATTTTGAATATTATAAGAACTTTAAATTTTTTTTATTTAAATTGTAAAAGTGAGTTTTCACTGTGATATTTTTTTGTAAAAATACTTTTTTTAATTGCTTTAATATTGCTCTTGAAACTAAACTAGCTAGAAACATTGTAACAAATATATATTATAGATTTAGAAGTTATATTCTCAATCTCACAAAGAATGCACTTCAAGATTTAATAAATATATTCTGTGTATTAAAAATATACAAAATGTAAAAAAAAGTTTTTGTAGACAAACATAATTTATATATACATACTGACTTTATATCTATATACTCCAATAAAATATATATAAATATCAATAATACAGGTTTAAAAATTAATAAATTCGTAACTAAACTTTGATTTTAGCAGGTTGTTCAACTACAACACTTGTTAACGTAGTTGTACTTTCTTGGTTATCATCTAAAGCTTCAGCAATACCACCCCAACGAAGTTTATATGTATGAGATGCCCACTTAACTATTTGAGGCTTCCATAACAAAGCAGTTAAAAATAAGTATGGTCCAACACATTCTCTGTATATCCAAGCTATAGCATATTCAGCTCTTGTAAATGGCAATGGTGATCCCTGTTATAAATTAGATTAAATAATTTTAAAATTCATTGAAAAAATGGCACCAAAAATATTACCTGCATAATATTCAGCAATATCCAATCCAAAAGAAACCAAACTAGTATATGCACTAAGTAAAATGCATAAGGATCAATCATTGGCATTAATGTATGAGTTGACCAAGCTGCTAAAGCACCCAAAATAAGGCACTCGGAAAGTGGTTCTAATACAATAGTGTGAGGTACCATAGCTGCCCTTAACTTAACCCATCTTAAAATAAAAAAATATACTACATTAATTTTGTTGCTAATTAGATACTTAAAAATTATCAATTTTCAAAATATACTAGAAGAAATTTAACTTATGCTAAAGGTGTTACGGTAAATTTTTACCATAGGTGAATGTATAAAATCAAACGTTAGTCAATGTAAAAAAAAAAAAAAACCAGCTTAAAATGTTATTTCAATGTTTTTTAATGGAGATACATTATTATGTTGATATATGACATTGGCGCCAATCCCTAAATTCTACTATGGCAACTGCCAGACCTTCAAAAAGGGTGGAGATTGATTCATGTTCACCATGTAAATCAATCATTATGAGTAATTAAAATATTGATCATTGTACTCAAGTAATTATAAATTTTCAGACTTTATAATCTATTTAATTTTGTAAGTTATAGTTACTAAAATATTAGTGTAGGGAATGGTTTAGGGATAATAATGGATGAGGAAATGAAAAGTAATGTAGTAGAAGTAGTTAGGAAAAGTGAAAGAATTATAGTTGTAAAATTAATTTTCGAGGAAAATGTGTTGCATGTATTAAGTGCCTATGCACAACAAGTAGGATGTGATGAAATAGATAAAGAAGTGTTTTAGAGAGAAGTGGATGAGGTGATGCAAGGAATACTCAGTAATGGGGATGCGGTGATAGATGGAGATATGAATGGACATGTAGGTAATGAGAGGAGAGGATATGAAAAATTACAAGAAAGGTATGGTTTTAGTGGGAAGAATAAGCCTGAAAAAATAATCCTAGATTTCGCAGTGTCATATGATATTGCTGTGGTTAATACTTATTTTAGAAAGAGAGAAAAACATTATATAACTTACAAGAGTGGGAGTAATAGATCACAGAGTGATTATTTTATGTGGATGAGAGAGAGTGTAAAGCAAGTAAAAGATTATAAAGTTATCTCAAGCGAGAGTGTAACTACACAACATAGCCTGATGGTAATGGAGTTATGGTATAGTGGAAAGAGAGTAAACAAAAACAGAAATAACATAATAGGAGAATCAAGGATCCGGTGGTAGAAATTGAAAAGGGGAAAAAAAAAAGTTTTTAAAGATAGTAAAAGAGAAAATGGTTTTTACCAACCATTTTTATATAAAATTTATAAAATTATTATTACTTAAATTACTTAAGAACTGACATACATTATGCCATTAGAAGTTTTTAATATCTGTTACACTGAACATTTGAAATGTTGAGGAAACACATAAATGATGTATGGAATAGATTTGCTAGTTGTGTAAAGAATACCGCAAAGGAGATTGTTGGTGAGAGTAAGTGTAGTATACCAGGAAACTAGGAAACCAGGTGGAAGGATAAGTACGTTCAAAAAATCATAGATTTTTATGTTTTCATTTCAATAGAGAAAATGAAAAAGCAGTTTAAAATAGTAGTAAAATCAGCATGGCAAAATAGCAAAAACAGAGAATATTGGATGGAGAATAAAAGTTTGTGCAAAGTAGCCAAATGTGCAGTAAGTAAGGCGAAGTTTAAGAGGTATGATGAGTTGTATGATAGGCTAGGAACAAAAGAAGGCGAGAAAAAAGTCTATAGACTTACAAAAGTAAGAGAAAAAAGATCTAAAGATTATCACTATGTAAGGTGTATAAAAATTATTGATAATAGGGTACTATCGAGTGATGATGATATGAAAAAAAAGCGTAAAGAGTATTTAAAAAAATGACTGAATGAGAAGTATCCAAGAGAGACATTATAGACTATCTCATGGAACGACGAACTGGTAGATTTAGTTATTGAGAAAGAGGTATAGAAGGCTGTGGCATCAATAAAAAAGAATAAAGCAGTAAAAACAAATGAATTGCTAGTAGAAGTATAGAAAATATTAAGCTGTGATGGCATAAGGTGGTTGAAGAATCTTTTTAATAAAATCCCTTTATTAAAAGGGAAAATGCTAAAAGAGTAGAGGAATAGTATTGTGGTGTCAATATTTAATGGAAAAGAAGATAAACAGTTGTGTGGAAATTATAGAAGCATAAATCTTATAAGTCATATTATGTAGATTTAGGAAAAGATAATAGAAAATTTTAGGGTAAGATTAGGTGTTTATTTAAATAATAATTAATAATGTTTTAGGATATTGAACTTTCCAAAACAGGTTTCTATCACAAAATAAATATCCTTCAAATTTTCAACTTGGTTCTATCTATGCAAAAGTATTATATTAATCATGTATCTTACGATAAATTTAGTTTTTATTTAAATAAAAAAATTAGAACTAAATGAAGCAAATTTTTTAGTATTTATATATACTGTAGAAATCATTTACAATAAACTTTAAGGTACAGCAAGTTTAACTTGTTGTAGCAGATAGCTCATTATAAACAGATGATTTTTTTTTTTTTTAATGCTTTCCCAGACCCATAAGGCTCATAGCAATCTTCCCAAAGGAAAGGTTTTCTTAACCATTGATACTCCGGGACAGAGTCACCAGAGATAGAGATAGGGACTCCAATTACCGAACTTATCTCACGTTCGGCAAATGAAGTAGCCTGTGACCAAATATTGAACCCAAGGTAGTACACATCAAGCACTACCACATTACCAGCTCGATCACACTGTCCCTCAAATGGATATAAATACAAAAACTAAAAAAAAACAGATGCTTATTCTAGGATACTAATTATTTTAGAATTTATTTAAACTTAACATAAAAATCTCATCATTTTCAAAAAAAAAAAAAGCATATCTGTTGTATAACTTTTTAGTTAGCCACTTATACTGATATGATTTTATGTATTAACACCTCTTAAATTATTATTAACTTGTAATAAACAGAAAATTTTTATATATCTTGTTGTGTATTACTCATTGTTGCTTACATCTTGTTTAGACCATACACATAGAAAATATATATGTTTTAATATAGAATCATATGAGATTATGTTTATAACATTTTATGACATTTTACTGATTCTAAGCAGAACCTTGTTTAAATTAATGCTCATTGTAATCATTTTTTCTGTATTTATGTTTAATATAAACAACTTTGAAAATTTAAATTAATGTTAAATAAGTATCAATTTTGTTTTAGAAATACATTGATACATTAAAGATACTATTATAACCTTTAGCCAAATAAAACACATTACTTATATTACCTTCTTAGACGATCATGAAAACGATACAAATCAAGTGTACCAGAATTCTGAAGTGCTGGAATGCCACTAATTGTTGTATGCCATCCCTGATTTACTAACTGTTGTGCAATAAAGTAATCTTCAGCTAAATACTGACCAAAGGCACATAATCCTCCACAATCATCAAGAGCACGTTTTCTAATCAAACTGGACATACCAGTATGGCATACAGCCTGAACAAGATCTGCAACAAGATAAACTCTAGCATGTGCTGTTCCAAAAAAAACCTAAAAAAAATATCAGACCATTTAAAATAAATATAAAAGATATATATGGTAAAAATAGAGGTATAATAAAGAAAATATTAAAGCTAATATATTAGAAAAAAAAATTTACAATACGTCATTTTAACATAACAAGAAATTAATTAATTCTTTGAAATAATTATGTCCAGAAAAATGAAAATAGTCATTATGTATCTGAATCATTGACTATAAAATAAGTTTAAAAAAAAATTTTCAAGAAAAGTTTTATGGAAGTGTTTGATAAAATATAAAGCTTTAATACTAAATTTTAGGGGTCTTTAATAATTTTTTTTATCATTATATGGAAAATAGCTCAATTACAAAATATATTGATATTGCGATAAATTAATTATTCATATTTTCAATAATTACATAATAATAACTTTGATACTGCATCATAATAGTTTTGATAGTGCATCTAAATATTGAAACAAACCATCATGTTCAAAAAAAATGTCTATGTAAAATTTAAATTAAACAAAATTCTATTTTCGCAAGACCATTCAAATTGATATTGAAAATATTGATATGAATTATATCTTAACATTTTACCAAAAAAACTGCTAATACAAGAATAAAAGATAAAACACAACTTTAAAAAAAAAATTGTTTGACAAGTATTTAGAAAATAAATTACAAATTTTTTGAAGTGAACTCTTTACACTCCTTATAAAGCAAAATAACTCAAATAAAAAATTTAAAGTTCTATATAACTGTATAATAATTTTGTTCTTAAAAATAGTCAATTGAAATATTTTCAATTTGTTTTAAGACCTTTTCATTCCCAGACAATGAATCATTGTTGATCTCTAATAAATTTATAGTTAGTAAAATTATTAGAAGGCATTTATTCAAATAAAAATTATCAACATTAAGTTAGAAAAAGATAGATTTAATAAAAAATAAATAAATAAATTTTTTTAGTTCTTTAAAAATAAATAACTTACTTTTTCCAAAGTTGCAACAAAATGTTTTTGATGATCACAAGATTTAGAATTATTATCAATACGATCACAAGTAAATGGTATTTGATGAACAATAGCAATATTGTTCTGCACACAATCTACCATATCTTTCAGGGTATCTTTCTTCACTAAAAATTGAGAAAAATATTTACTTAGTTTATTTATTTATTTATTTTTTTTTTTGAATCATGAAGTTATAATTATAGGTTTAGGGAGAGCTGAAAAACTGTTTCTAATGACTTTATAATTTTTTTATTAGGTGACCACTTTTAGTTTTAGTTTATGACTATGATTAATTATCTCTGTTTAATTGAGATAATTCAATTTGAAATACTTTCTTATATCTTTGTGTATGTCAATTATGATGAATGTCATAATAAATGATAATAATACTACTTTATTACTAATGTTTTTTAATTCAATTTAATCAAATTAAAGTAATAAAATTGATCTTACTTCTTATAGAGCTATCTGATATAAGCACGAATGGATGTTTAGCTTTGGCATATGCTCCGTGCATATTACATATTTTAGGGTTTGTTCCAACTGCTGATCCACCTAAATAAAAAAATTACATAAATAAATAGCTAATTCAATAAGTAATCTTAACTTTATATAAATAATTGAAGTTTAGTAGAGAATAACATACTATGTAGCAATTCATACATTTTTTTTCTAATTCTATAAATATAATTAGACAACTCATAAGTAAAATTCAAAAAAATTTTTTTGCAGAATAACATGCTATGAAGCAATCTAATTTTATTTATAGAAACAAAAAATATATACCTATGAATTACAAGATGGCATATTATTCCCACCCACTGTTTAATTGTACAATTTAGAAAGTTAAGTTTATATTTACCAATAAATAATTGAGTTTCAACATTAGCTCCATAAGTTTCAACCAGTTTAGTAACAATTTGTATGGCTGGATCATTATTATCTTGAATACAAATCAATATTTCATACTAAAAATTAATGAAGAAATTATAAATAATAATTATCTGATGTTAATTAGTGTAACTAACATAAAAATTATTAAAGGTTATGACTTAAAAACTGACTAACAGTTATATCAAATTTTTCTTAATTTTCAATGTCAAGAGCAGTATAGTGGTCTATACTTTTGGTGCCTATAGGATAAACTAAAATTCTTATGTCTCTTATGAACTACTACTATTTTAAGTGTGAATCGTATAAGTTTAAAACATTTATTTCTTAAACATGATTTTACTTAAACATAAAGATAATGCATGTTTTATTGAAAAAGGTACAGAGATTTGCTCCATATATTAACATTTACTTTACTTCTTCCTTTGTACTAATTTTTCATCAAAATTATCTAGTGACTTAACAAAAAAAATTAATATACAATCATAGATTTCATCTAAAAATACATTATGGGTAATCCTCTAAAAAAACTTTTAAAATAAAATTTTGATCTACTTTGAGTCATGTTTATAGAGGAATTAAAAATTATTATACATATTATTTAATTTTAATTAAAAAAAAACATATAAATATTCTGAAATTGATAAATTAACACTTAAAGGAATTATTTAAAAATACAGATATTATTTCTCTGGAATCAAAAAGCTGAAGAATACAGTTATTAATATATGTAAGTCCCAGTAAAAATAACATTATATTTTACCTTTGGATAATCAATGTTGAAGTAAGTACGTAAATTGTCTGCCAAGTTCGGATCTGTACCAACAATAGGTTTCAATATACTAACTCCTGGATAATCTTTCTCAGCTTCAACAGTATTTATTACTGTTTGTTTCTTTTTACTCCTGTGTAGCTTATATTTACTAAAAGAAATTGATTTAAAAACACTTTTAAGTTATAATAATATATATTTTTTCTTTACCCATAGCAAATTGCTAATATATGAACTAGCCAGTATCCAAACCAGTATAGGACCACACCAATAGCCAAGAGTTTACTCCATGAATCAGGGATCATTATAAAAAAGTATCTACGTTGGTAATACAGCAAATATTTTAAACATTATTTAAAAAAATTAAAAGGAAGAAATCAATTGATAATTAACACATTAATATAAATACAGCAATATTTACTCATTTTTTTCTATAATTTGTTACTATTTAAGAAAATTATGTAATACACTTATCGTTGTTTTCACTACATATCATTATGATTTCCAATTATTAATCTAATCAAAATTGAGATTCTTCATAATCTTATTATTGATAATATGAACCTGGTCACTGGCGTTGACCATTTACGAAAGACAGTTAAAGATCTAGGTGTATTAGTTATGTTATAGAATAATTAGAGGCCGTTGACTACATCCCCGCACGCGCACCACATTGTCATCATACACTACTTCTATTTTACAGAGTAACCACATAAACAAAAAATAACAGAACGCTATAATGTTCAATTTGTAAACTTTTTCATTTGTTTTGAAAAAACAGTATGTCGTAGAAATAATGTATTTACAAGAAATTTGTTATTTAATATTACAGTGGTTGTTTGATGAAAGTGTCGACATAAACTTCATCAGTTTACCATAGATGGCTCTACTGTAAAGGCAATTTAGTTTTATAAAACGGTCTTTTACATTCTTTTCATGTTTATTACTTCTATGACTATTTTCATTAAAAATATTTTTAAACATTATTTTGTCATATATTTAATCCTGAAGTTATTTCCGTAAGCATTCATCGTTTCCATAAATTATAATAAAATTAATCCAAGTATTAAAGGCTAGCTAACACATAGGAAGTTTTTCGTTCAGAATACAAGATAATAATAAAAAAATAAAAGTTTGGTAAAATATGATAAAAGGCATTTATAATTTGGCCTAAAGTGGCGACTTACGTCGGGTCTGTTCTGTTCTTAACCACTGAAAAAATACAGTACAAACTTTCAATGGTAATTTTTAATAACTATCATTAAAAATAAAAACTTGTTGTTTCTCTTAAAATTAGAGAAAATTAACTGTACCTAAATGATAAAAACTTTTACAAAGAAATTGAATAAATTCATACATTTTAATTAACTTTTTAAGTATACAGATAATTTATTTGGATAGATATTTGAAATACATCAAAGATAAAATAAACTTGGAGATTTCTTTGATTTTCTTAAACGAGTTGAACTATTATCATAATTTAAAGAGCAATTTTTATAAGTATCCTAATTTTACATATAAAATGATATTTATGATCTTGCATAATTTCAATAGTAAAAATGTCTTTCCTCCAATTTATAAATTTTGAATTATATTTCATTGCAATTAAATAAAAAGGCATTGTAAATAGTTAACAACTTATTGATTTTTTAATTAAAACCACACCTTTGACAACCAAGCTATTATATAATAGCTTCCCTTTTAAATTGTAGTTATAAAAAAGTATACTACAAAAATATATTTTCGAGTCTATTACCAACCAAAAATACAAAATTCTCAATTTTGAGGCAGATTAAGATCTTTTTGTGCATATTATTTGTTTTTTTTTTTTAGTGTTTTTCGTGGGTAACATGAGTTTAAATATAATGTATTGAATTTTTAATTATAAAATTCTTACAAATATTAATTCTTTGGGTATTTGAACAAAATTGATATAAAACACTTTATTTATAAAATCATAAATCATATAATATTTTATAAAGAGATACTGTTCAAAACATTTTGGAGAATAAATTGGAATTTTATCTTAGTCTTATTTTAAATTGGCACTTTCTATACATTTATTTACAATCGTTCAGATTAAATCAATATTTCGTAATCATAAACGAAGACATTGGTGATATATGAAATTTATACGGTGATTTATTTGTCAAAACCCACTCAAATACTCACAAAATAGGAACATTATTCAAAAAATTGTTTTGGTTATTTTTAACGACATATATTTTTTGATTTTTTAATTATAAATTATTTTTCAATATTATCCTTTATAAAATAAATGGATGTCTTAAATAAAATAACTTTTAAATTTTAAATGATAACATATATGTAAATGATTTATAAATTTTAATGCAGCCTTGACATTATAAAATACACATACTTTTAAACGTGAATTATGTAACAAATCTAAAAAAATAAAGATTACTGTATTTAATTTTAATTTTGAGATAGTTAAACTCCTTTAAAATTAAAAAATATACAGATGATCTGTTAGTACCATTTTAAAATATTGATAGTAGTTAAGGGGTGGTATGACTATTTTATCATTAGACATTTCTCGGCTGCTCTCCTACACCTACCTAGATATAAAAATATTAACAATTTTCGAAGTAGTAGTGCTAAAGATTACATAAAAGATCCGTCATTTTCCTCATTAGATGATTTTTTTATTTTAAAAGCTAGTTAAATATTTCCATAAAAAAAAAAAAAATAAAAGTTCGACTTCCATATAAATTATTAAAGTTTTCTTAATGTAATTATTATTTTAAGAGAAATCGTAGATAGCATCAAAATAATCATCTTTTACATTTACCTAGTTTATATAATAGGTGTCTTATTAAGAAAATTACTAGTTAGGTTTAATATAATGCTAATATTGAAAAATTCAATAACTTTTGAACCAGTACTTAGAAGTAATTAACATTTTTATAACTATCTGAGGAATACAGCCGATAAACGTCCAATAATTAGTCATACCTCTACTTTTCCCTCAGTCTATATTTTAGTTATTGTAATTACCAAAATATTGGTCCAATAGTTGCTATGGAACTGTTATTTTCTTAATTAGTCGTTTTCAATAAAAAAATTATAGTTAACACCACTATAAATTATAATGTAAGATATTACAAAATAATTAATAAGTTAAAAAATATATATGCAAATAATAAAAACAAAGATTTATTTTTTCATATTGTAATGATGATAGTGTTCTCCTGCAGATTGTTTTTATGAGATTTTTGAATAAGGGTTGGTTTAATTGGCTTATTTCATAATTCATTAATGAAAGTTAACTTTATATTTATTTTTGAGGATCTAAAGATAGATATAAAGAAGCGTTCCCTAAAAGCAATCCCTACATATAAGAAGAAATTTAATTTTAATTTCCTATTTAATTAAACAAAAAATACACATTTTAATTATATACCATTTTTATATAAAATATTTTATAAAATGGTTAAAGTAAACTAATAACAATGAAATCTCAATTTTGTTTTATATAGCACTTAAATTCTAAATCCTTGATATATATCAAATAATCATGTGCTGTATAAAATTATACACTTTAATAAACATAAATGGTTTTGGTCATATCAAAGCTATTTCTATTTAACCAATTTTAGGATAAATTTCCAGAAGATTACATATTTTTAAAAAGTAATGTAAGTTTATAATACATTAATAAAATGAATTTTTCAAAAATTGTAATTGAAAAACTGATTCAAATTACACAAAATTATTAAAATTGTATTGTAGAAAATGTACAATTTTTTTAAAAAAGAATAATACTTATTACTATTTTAAATCACAAGTTAATAATATTTAATTAATTAATAAAATAAAAAACTCATATCTTATATTTAACATATTTATTATTTTTGCTAGTTCTCACACAAATACATGGTAAGGGATCAAATAAATTTATGGAATAGTCATTTCTATTATTATTTAAAATGAATAATTTTGTCAAAAATTTATAAATGAAGTACGTTGAATTTTCATTCATTAATAGAATATAACTTATATGTATTTGTACATATAGCAACTTTTATGTGGTATAAAAACTGTATAACTACACATAAAAAAAGTAAATGGAAAATTTTTTATGATATATTATTCATTAATTGAAACTTTTATCAATAATTACTAATTAATCAAACTTATTTTACAAAATTTGTATTGTAATTAGCGTCTACCGCGACGAGCTACACCACCTCCTCTTCCTCTACCACCACCTCGACCACCACGACCTCCTTTGGTTGGAGTTGGTTGCTGAGCAACTTGTGGTGGTTGTATTGCTGCTGCCTCTTCTTCTTCTTCTTCTTCTTCTTCTTTGACTTCAATTTCTTCTTGTTTGGGTATTTCTTCTTCTGATTTTTGAACTTCCATTGCTTGTACAATATTAGAATCAATTGCAGCTTCAGCAGCAGTATCAGATTCTAGGATAGATGTTTCCATTTTTTCGGTTTCTTCTTCTGTATCTAATTTTATACGTTTAGATGCTTGTTCCTACAAAATACATTAATTGAGTTTTTATACAAAAAATAATCTTAATGATTAATTAAATAATCTTTACTTCAGTTTCATCAACATTTTCTTCTGGTTTTATCTCATCAATACCTTCATTTTGACTTTCTTCTTTAACTTCATCAATGCTACGTTTTTTACTAGATGATGTAGCATCTTTCATTTTTGTCATTGTAGTATAGTTTATATAATGAGCCGCAGTTTGACAATGTAAAGCTACCCCATTTAAGTCTTGTAAATAACATGCACATAATCTACAGATATAACCAGTACTTGGTACTAATAATTCTTTTCCTGTAGTAAATGTGATAAAATTAGAATATTACTTTTTTAATAATCAATCTAATGATTACAACATAATTATAGATTTTTTTTTAAATAACATTGTAGAGGTAAATAAGAAATATATTAGAAAAGAATATTAGAGTACAACTTAAAAATCAATAAAACTCATGTTTAATGCCCTTTTTCATAAGGTACAGCTTGTGTTAATAGCAGAAAAAAATGAAAAACCTAACAACTGTACACAATGGCACAGCGTGCTCATAAAAAAAACTATAGAAGTAGCCTATTATTTATATTTGCCTCATAAATGTATAGTTTAATATCTAAGAATTAATTAATATGATATAATGCATACCAATTGCCACATTAGGATCATAAACAGCTACTGATGATGCATCTTGAGCATCTACTTTTCCATCTTCATTAGCATTAGCTTCATCTTCTTCTTTTTCCGCATTTGAAGTAATAATTTCTTCATTAGTTGCAGTAGTTTCTTCTTCTGTAGTAGGTGCTACACTTTCAGATTTGTCTTGTTCATTTTCAACTTTTTCTGGTTGTGGCTTATTTTTTATTTCTTTGCCTGTTCCTCCTTCCATTTCCAATTTAACTTTGACTGCATCACGATCACCAAGCATTTCATATTTTTTAGCAACAGGCATTTGGTCATGATCATCTAATTGTTCTTCAACTATAATTGAAAAATATAAGATGAAGAAACAAAAACAATTTTTTAATATTATTTTATTCAATTACTTTCAATTTTAATCATGTCTACTAAATCAAATTCATCATCTTTTAGTTCTGGGAATTCATCTTTTCTAGCTTTAGCAACTTTCTAGAAATAGCAATATAATTTAGAACAAAAAAAATTGAAAATAACAATTATGTTTTATTTAAAAATAAATTATGATAGTTCAGAAATTTTTACTTACTTTTAGATGTCCAGCTGTAAGTTTATGTTCATCCATTTCCAATCTTGTATGAAATAAGGCATCACAAAGTTTACATTCAGGATGTAAAAACTGTTTTAATTTCTAAATATTCAAAATTAAAAATTATTAATGCCAAAATAAAAAATCTTTAGATATGCAACAATTTAATATATGAAAAAGTATTATAGAACATTAAAAATTTAATTTAATTTCCATTCTGTCAAAATAAAATTATACAAAAAAAGAACTAAAATCTCATAAATTTAATATTTATTAAAATTATCTTTTATAAATGAAATAGTTTAATTTAATGTAAACAATTACCCTATGACGGTCACTCTTTCTGTGACCAGTTAATGGACCATAAAAACGAACATCACACATAGGACAATAACTTCTTAAGAGAGGTTTATTTGAGTTACTTCCTGATTTACCTCCAGATTTGTTCTTTGTATGATTTGTCACTCTTTCTAAATCTATTTGCCTTTGGTTTTCAACTGCCTTAATTTGATGACGCATTAGATCAACCTTCATTTTATATGCTTCATCAAGGTAGGTGATCATAAGTTCATGAGGTCTACCTCTAACATGCTTTTCAAATGACTAATAATAAGAAAAAAATTATGTTTACATAAAATCAACCTAAAAATATTTAAATAATAATAATAGTGATAAATATTCCTGTAGAAGGGGATATTAATAGTCAGTTATAATAGGCAACAAATAAGGTTGTGTTAGGTCAACAATAGGTGTAAAATTTTGTCAATTCATAACAAGAGTCTTAAATGAAACATAGGCAGATTAACAGGCGAGAGGATATAAAGTAGCTAGGGTTGTGGAGACCTAAAGAATAAAGGGTGTGGTACCAATTGAAAAACTCGTGAGGTATCTGTCTCATTAGTCATGTGTATAGACTATCCAACACTTGTAGTGTCTATGATGTAGGGTCAACTCCACTAAACCTTAGGTTAAACTCGTGTCTAGCTGTAACAGATAGATATAATGTAAGAATAGGCATGTGGAATGTTGGAATATTAACTAATAGGAGTAGAATTAGTAGAAGTAATGAAGAGGAAAAAAGTCAATATATGTTGTGTGTAATAAGGGGAGAGGGTATGGTTTTAGTAAGAAAAATGACGCTGGAAAGTTTTATAAAGTTTTATGGATTATAGGAACTATAGAGGGATATCACAACTTAACATATTATACAAGATACTTGTAAATATTTTTGTCACCAGACTAAAGCCATATGGCAAGGAAATAGCAAGCAGGTTTCAGAGCAGGAAAGTCAACAATAGATCAGATTCACACCATTGAATAAATAATGAAAAAGAGATTAAAATATAATTAGCATCTCTTCATGTATAACAATAGATAAAAATGGGAGACTTTGATTGACCTAATATAATACATGGACAATATAGTGCTAATAGGTAAGACAGAATCTAAAAAAAATCATTTAACTAGCTTATGAGAATGATGGACTAATTTGGAACTTAGGGAAATATTCAGTGAGGCAGACATAATAGTAACACTGAAAGCATGCGTATTAGCTGGGCAGCTCACATTTGGAGAGCACAAAACCAGATAATTAGAGAGGCCATAAAATGAATTCCCAATATAAAGACACCAGTAGGAAGGCCAAGACAAAGATGGGTAGACAGAGTTAGGAGTGACCGACAAATGCTAGGAGTAATAAACAATGAAGAGTTACCTAATGATAGCAAAACATGGAGAGGTGTAGTGATTGTGACAAAAAAAGTAATATTAATAACAATAAAACGAGCAGTTTTTCTAAAAAATACTTAGGGATGCAAGTAAAATATTTGTGATATTTTAAAAATACTTTATTTACCACATAGCAATTATTTTAAAATATTTAAGTAGATTCTAAAATAATTAGTACCATTATTTAAAATTACTATCATTATTATGAAGACAACTTTGGTAATATTCTAGATTAATTTATTTGATGAAATTATCACTATAATTTAATTATCATTATTTTTACTGTTGATATGAAATTAAAAATCATAACATTAAAAAAATTAATAATTTTTTAAATTATGTCAATATCACACTTGTTGCACAAATAAAGTGAATTCACCAATAATTTTAACCTAGATAAAAAAATGTTGGTTTTGAATATTTCCTCTAAACAAATCCAATTCAAGTATGTTTTAAAGGAAGATATAAAATTTAATGTACCTCTGAATCCCACATATGTTTTGAACACACATGACAGTAAAGTACTGCACTTGGAACTCCAGCATAAGACTCTTTTTTATCTGCATCCATCTGTTCTTTAGTTCGTTCATTTCTATAATTTTATAAAATATATCTTTAAACACTTATTAATAAAGAAATATAAATGATACCTACCCTTTTTTGTTATTTGCATTATTATTTTCGTTATTAGATTTCACATTGCTTGTAGATTTACGTTTCTCAGAATCTTTGCCAGATTTACGGTTACCACCAGAAAATCTACTTGGTGGTCTCTAAAATACAAATTATAGATTAATTTAAAATACTATTGTTTAAAAACAAATTCTTAAAAATCTACTAAAAATCATTGCAATAAAAATTTACAAGTCACTTTTAGAAGTTAGAAATGTGTATTATTTATACATACTATTATTATACAAAATATTTTATTGCAAGAATTGTTCCTTTCAAATTTTAGTTAACATATATATTGCAATTAATTTACCTTGCCGTATCCTCCGGGTGGGCCACTGCGCATTGAAGAACCCATAATTCTTTGAGGTGGAGGTCCACCTGATACAACACCCCAATTACCTCTACTTCCATATCCACCAGAACCAGATGGCTAAAGAAGAAATATAAAAAAAAAATAAACACCTGTTTTGAAAGCCAACTTAATTCCTTACCGCGGAATTATTAAAAATTTTATTGAGAAGATTACTAGCCATAGAATATTGCTGAGGCCCTTGACGAGCCCCAACTGCAGGACCGCCACCACCAGGACCTGATTGCCAGGGATTCACTCCAGGTCTATATCCACTACCAGTACCTCCTCCGCTGTTGAATCTTCCAGCTCCACCACTGTATCCACCGGATCCGCCATTATATCCACCGCCGCCACCACCACTACGACGACTGTATGCCATTATATAGAATTAAGATTTAAAACTAACCTTTTTTAACTAAGAACACGAGCTAATTTAGTTCTAGAACTATTTGTATAAAGACGAAAATTGTCGGAAATGAATAAGATAAACAACACAAATTAACTTATTAAGAAATTTCACAATAAAACGTTAATAATACCAAACGAAAAAGATGGCGGCAATAGTCACTATACAAAACGGGACAAATACTACGGTCAATCACACCATACACTACGATGTTAAGGCCTCCGCGTTAATTTTGTTTACGACTGACAAGGTGCCGGGGCCGGTAGTGCGCCACGACGCCGTCATATCAATATTGCATTTTATAACATGGTAATGGTTTCATAACCATGGTAACGAACCATTTGAACTATTTGAATTAAATTAATTGGAATCCATATCATTTTTCATTAGATTGCTGAGAAAAGTAAGTAAAATTCACGGTCTTAAAATACTATATACAGTCTTGAACAAACTTTTAAAATGTAGTCAAAATACAATTAATTTTTATACTTCTAAAAGTCATTTTATTACATGCTCGCTACTTATTTTTTAATGTAATAACATTACTTAAGATAAATAATGTAATGAGTTACTTTCAAAGTTACGATATAAAATATTTCTTTTATCATGAGCCACTAAATAAATTTAAAAATTACATTAATCTTTTCTTTTTGTCTTTTAAATACATGTTTTTTTTCTCAATTTATCAGTTTTAAATAATTATGTTTTTCTCTTATATCTGAAAAGGGTTTCAACTTTATTTTACTTTATTAGAAACATACATAATTATTAAGCTTTTTTATCAAAAAATTAGCAAACCTACCTTTAAAAAATAGTCATTCAGTCACTCCCCTTTAAAAAACTTTTCAATGTGTATATCCCCCAAGTTGTGTCTATGTCTGTCATATTTTCAATCTTGATTGTTTATTACTTGGCTAGATTACGATTAAATTAATTAATAACTTAAATGAATTTCTTTTTTTTGAAACATCTAATATTACTTGTAAATAGTTCTTAAAATACTTGGATGTAAATTATAGAAAGGTACAATGTCATAAAAATTGTATTAGTACCAAACTGATTTCGTAAAAATGCTTTGTAATGTAAATATATATATTTTTCTGTAATAGTTAACTAAATCCGGTTACTGTGTAATAATTAATAAAATGATAGTAATAAAACAGTCACAAAAGCTAGTACGACATTTGAAATTACCAAAAAAAAAAGAGATAGGTACTATCAACTATATAAAGTCAAAAGGCTAAGGAGTAGTCCTTCATTAGTGTNGTTACTGTGTAATAATTAATAAAATGATAGTAATAAAACAGTCACAAAAGCTAGTACGACATTTGAAATTACCAAAAAAAAAAAGAGATAGGTACTATCAACTATATAAAGTCAAAAGGCTAAGGAGTAGTCCTTCATTAGTGCACTAGTAGAGTAGTGCAGTAATTACTGAGTAAAGTAGAGCAGCGTGGAGCATAGTAGAGGAGTTAGCTAATTAGCACAATATGCAGGAAATTTCTCCTGACTACACTTTATCTTAATTATTTAAATAAAGGTGACAGAAATATAAGTCAATCATAATTGCTCCTATATTAGTTTTAAATAATAACAAGAGTATCGATCGTTTTAAAGTAATAAAGTAACATGTCAAGTTATTTACATTATCATCGGAAATGTGAAAATAATTGACTTAAAAATTTTGTAAGAATACAAGGAATACACACACTATATCAAGTCATAGGAGCGAGGTGATTATGCTGTTACCGGAACTACTCAAAAGAAAAAGTCCTTGGAGCCAGGCTGTGCTTTGGACATGCTACTCGAGGTAACTTTTTAAACTTAATAACTGCTGTTCTTAAAATTCAATAAATTAGGCAAATTATCTTATGATGATAATTTATGACTATATAAGTTATTTAATTTGACACCATATTGTTTTTGAACCCTCAAATCATATGTAGTAGATTCACTACTGCTCTCTAATACTCTAAATAATCTAGCCGTCAAGAATTAGCTATAACAATAGCACACCATTTAAAAACCATTTTAACAATTATAAATGATTTTGTTCAACAATCGTTTTCAACAATTTATGCATATGTATGTATATGTATGTGTTTAGCGTTGATAATGGTAATATTGTTTCCGAAATACGTATCCGCGACCTTTCATTCATTTTTTGTGGCTTTGAGTTTAATATTTTTTAGTTTTTTAAATTAATAATATTTTAATATAGTTTTAATTTTACTTTTATTCAACAATTTGTTTAAACAAATTTTATTTAAATTAATTTTAAACATGAATGTGTTAAAACTTTCATGGATTGTTTTGTTGCTTGAAGTGCTTGAGGATATATCCATGTTTACAGTTGAGTTCTAGTTCAGTTGAGTTAGTTGCAGCCACCGACTAGCAACCATCACTCTGAAGATGGACTCTGCAATGAGTCCGAAACGTCAGAACTCAACTGTAAAGATGGATATATCCTCAAGCACTTCAAGTAATTTTAAACAATTTTGTAATCAATCTATTTTAAACAAAGTTTTTTTCTCCAAAAAATGTTATTGAATGTTAAATTTCTTATGACAGCTACGAAAAAAGTTTAAATTTCATAATTTAAAGCTAGGGGTGCAGCGTACCCCTTCATATAATCCTTCATACGACAGATTCGGAACTATCGTGTATAACTGAATTTCCATACGCCTTAATATATATATAAATGTGTGTGTGTGCTCAGAAAATAAAGGGAATTTTTATATTTCGCAGTTTTGGAGAGTCCAATTATCAAAATTTTTTTCATAATGTTGGTAGACATATCCCTGATGTATGATAAAATATTCAGTTAGGTTCATTTTTACAATGTCAGTGGCAGCCACTTAAGTTAGACGTATCTTTATGAGTTCGGCGATTTTCGTTTATTAAAAAAATGGATCAAAGGATTTGTATCAAATTTTGCATAAAAAATGAAATAAAGTGTAACAAAGTGTGTGAAATATTAACAAAGGCCTATGGTGACTCTGCCATGAGTGAAACAAGGATTTACGAGTGGTATAAGCGTTTCCAAGATGGCCGTGAAGACGTTGAAGATGACAAACGCCCTAACATATCAACAACTGATGAAAACGTAGAAAAAGTGATATAAATCGTTATGAACGATCGCTGAATCACAATCAGAGAAGTCACTAGTAATGTTGGAATATCGATTGGTTCATGCCATGAAATTTTTTTGAATGTTTTGGGATGAAACACGTAGCAAAATGTTCCAAATTTTTCTGAATTTTGAACAAAAACAGTGGCTAATGGTAGTTGCCCAGGAGTCACTTACTAAATTAAACAACGATGTAGAATTACTGAAACGTATTATAGCAGGTGACGAAACTTGAGTTTATGAATATGACATCGAAACTGAGTCTCAGTCGTCCCAGTGGAAGCATTCAGGATCACCAAAACCGAAAAAAACTAGAACGTGAAGGTTATGTTCACTATGATCTTCGATTTTAATGGAATAGTGCATCATGAATTCTTGCCACAAGATCAAACAGCCAATAAGAAGTACTACTTACAAGTTCAACGCCGATTGTGTGAAGCAATTCGAAAAACGCTCGAATTTGTAGTAAAACAATTCATGGTTTTTGCACTACAATGCTGTGCTCATACTTCATTGCTTCTTCGTGAATTATTGGCCAAAAACAATACTGTAACGATGCCCCAACCTCCATATTAGCAAGTCATGGCTCTGTGTTACTTTATTCTATTTCGAAAAATAAAGAAAACCTAAAAGGTCCGTCGTTTTACAAACGTAGATGATTTTAAAAGCGCCTCGCTAAATGAGCTGAAGGCTATCTCAAAGATCGAGTTTGAGAAGTGTTTCGAAGATGGGAAAAAGCGCTGCAACAAGTGCATAATGTGTAATGGAGAATTTTTTTGATTGTGACAATTTAATGTAAATGAATAAATAAATATTTTTTTTAAATAAACTAAAATTCCTGTTATTTTCTGAACACGCCATATACAAGGTGATCAATTTTAGGTAAGATACTCATTTTCTTAGAAACGATTGAAAATTTTTAATTTTTGTAAATAGAAAAATTAATTGGTTTGAATATTCTACAATATACTTTTTAAATAATATTTTTTCTAAAATTTTAGAGATAAAAAAACTGTAGTTTTAATTATTTTCATTGGGATCCCTATTTTTGAATTGATATGTGATAAATAAGAAGTTACAAACAATATTGTTCTTATAATTTTTTTTATTTAACCAACCGTCTGTGTTTTAATATTATTTAAAAATTTGAATTTAAATTAAAATTTTATTATGAATTTGGTATTATGGAGGCAAAAATAATCTAGTTAAATAGATATTAATATCGAGTTGTTGGAATAGCTTAAAGTAAACTGGGTGGACAGATTTGTTACAAATTTTTTACAAGTTGAAAGAAAATAAAGGAAATATTTCTGACGAATCAATATGAAAAATAAGTTTCCTCCTAGAACAGTGACTACATATACTTTTCATTGTAACCTTTATTTATTTCGAACGTTCTGGCTAATTTTTTTGGAAGACATGTTGTGAAGACAGTAGCGTAGCCAATAGGGATAGGCCTTTGGTCAATTGTTATTATTAATAGTATATGATTTGAACATTAGTAAGAATATGTGATAAGCAAACAAAAAAAAGGTCTTCAGCCCATTACCCAAGCAAAAATCTTGGTTACGCCACTATGTGAAGAGAAGGTGTTATTTATTTATTGTGATAGAAAAAAGTACACTGGTGCTATTTCTTTGGAAATGTGTAAATTGTATTACATCTTTATTCGTAATAAAACATCTAATTATAGTTATACATAATCGTTTTTAATATGTATACGAAAACGCGAATATTTAGGTATAAATGCGAATGCGTACTCTGCCAGCAAGTGCTCATTTAAAATGCTAATTGATATTATACATATGTCAATATATATAATTGCTCATAATACTAAAAATCTATAAATATAAATACAACACCCGAAAAACTTTCTCGTATTATTAATACAATTACAATTTATAATATATAAATATTTATAGATTAATTACAAGAAAAACATACGTAATAAATTTTTAAATATATATAATAATAATAGGGAGAGTTTTTTTTTTATAACGAAAACAATAATATTTTTCTTTCTACATAAATGCTATAATATAATATTTATATAATTGTACACTGAAACGTTTAATAGAAATAAGAGATTATTAAATATTACTCCAAAACAATATAACGACTACTTCATATTTAAGATAATAAAGCTAAATATTACATAAAATAATGATTTTTAATAATGTACACCTAAGTCATTATTTTTATTGGTCAAATCGTGATCAAGATTAATTTCACATCTTAATCATTGTACATACAATAATAATAATAATAATAATAATATATCATACTGTTCGTTGTTCAATCGCCAACTGCACAGATTCTATTTTAAATATATAATATAAACTCTATATACTACTTATTTTACATCCGCTTAACGCTTATTATTATTATCGCATACAGGAAACATAAGTATATGAAAGAATTAATTTTTCAAGTATTAATAATCGTAATAACCAAAAGGAATTTAATTTTCTATTAAATGTTGTACAAAAGGAAAACGTTATTTTTTTCTTAACCTACAAGTACAGAATACCTTACTGTGTGTCATGGTACCTGTACCGGAGTAGACCGTCTCAGAAAGCTCTTAAATTTAGTGCACGAAGTCACGTGAAGTTGTATTGGAAGTAATGGAAGAATCATTGAGGAATTTCGTTGTTCATTTAGGCCGCAAAATTAAATTATACATGTTACAAATGTATCGGGCTTAAACTGGAGGTTGTAATTTTCTAGTGGAACTTGATGATTTTATTGAAGTACCCGTAGTGCCTCGCATGGGGCTTACGGTGGCTGTAGATATCAAGGGAGGACCTCCAGCGCCTATTTGATATCGTTTCAAAGATTCACGGCGTACAGTGTAAGATACGACTATCAAAGTCAATATTAGAAGAGCGGCGAGACAGTTGACGACCACGGGTTCTACAGTCGTGTGAAGTTTTTCGTTGACTGAATTGGCCAAGCTGTTACTGTAAAAAAAAAATATTGTTTACCATTAAATTTTTTCGATTTAAATTCATATTTTTAATCACATCCATGATAGGTTATTTACAAAGTAAGGTATCGTTGTAAAAAAAATCAGAAGATATTTTCCCGTCACCATATACTTAAAGGGCTCGGTGAGATAATTACTCAATTGTGCGTGTACGATTAATATATTAATAATGCCAACACCAAACGTCTTAGGTATATATTATTAGTAGTTAAATACCACGAATTTATAAAAAAAAACCCACCGAATTATTGGTTTCATTAGTTGACCAAAAGAGGAAAAGGAATATTATACATGTAAAAAGGAAGCGGAAAAGACCTTTTGAGAAAACTAGTTAGAAGAGGGAACCAACTGAAATGTGTGGCCATTGTACTGTCTTCTGCTGTGTTTGCTTTTTGGCGAATTGAGCATTAGAAGAACGTATACGACCGACATTAGGGTTAAGACCAGCAGCACGGCTATTATGTTGATAACGGTTTGTTCTGCTGCAGAGTATTTGTGTAGTCCACTATAATGCACGCGGAGGGTAAAATATATCGTTATTTTTATAGATATTAGAAAACAAATACTAACTGAAATTAATTATAGTCAAAATTCGATCGTTTAACGTACCCGTTAGTAGAATTGTAGATCTTGGTGTCAGCACGTTGTTGCAAGCCGGTCAAACAAGTAGCAATAGCCATGGAAAAAGTGCAAAGTCCCAAAGTTGCGTGTATAGGAGCGAAACACCGTAATCGGCATCTGGCAGTGGCGGCTCGGCAACACAGCAAAACGACAAATGTAAAAAGCCCTAGGATTATCTAGACAATCAAAACAAACAAATAATATTTTGTTAAAAAAATTATTCCTAGGCCGTGTACCTGCACAAAAAATAGTGAATAAGTTAGTGTGCCCATCCAACTGTGCACAGAATACAAATGCGGTAAACGCAAAGACGTGTGATACTGGGCGGCTGCTAGGGCTCCAATACATACGCACGGTACTCCGATGACTGTGTGCAGTAGGGAATGAGTTAATTTCAAGTAGGTGGTTCTACATCCGGTTCCAGTGCATTTAGCAGCCATTCTATAAACGAGCATTGCTGAAAAACAAAAAACAAAGTAACCCATAAATAAATATCCAACATGACTACAAAAGTTATCAGTACTTAGAATCGGAAAATAAAAATGATTCGACTGTTGAAATGTATACACTTCAACGGCTACAGTTCGAACCCCTTAATTACCTATACTCATTTCCCGTGTCATTAACAGTCTGAGTTTTATCTACTATCTTTATGAGATTATTGTTTTCCAAAAAACTGATAGATAATGTATTCATACTCACAGAATCCAGTAACCGTGACAAATCCGGCTACCATCATGGTTGGATGCAAGTTGAATCGTCTTTCGGCCAAACTGATTTCTAAGGGATTTTGAGTATTGAGTTGTTGAGCTGTTGTAGTAGGGAGGAAAGATTGATCTGACGAGGATTGAGATGCATTATGTAATTGATAGGTGAAGACGCCAACTCGAAGGATTTCTTTAAGACTTGGTGGTGGCCACGGGAACCATGAAGATCCTCCTGACACTGCTGCTGGAGTAGTATCGTAGCCATCTCTAAACGCAATTGTCCAATAAGCAGTACCGGCAGTGCATGCTATTAATAGAACTGAACAGAGTACGGTGAGTAAAATGTATTCTGTAGTGGCTGGACATCCAACGGCCCCAGAAGCGTAACGTTGGGCAGCTGCTGAGTTTCCGTCATCACCTATTCCTGCGGCTCCATCAGTACCGGAACTCGAGTATTTAGATCTACAGAAAATCGACATATTTTAGTAAACTTTTTGTTGAATAAAACTAAAATATTATTTCGATTGAACAGTATTAAAAAATGTTTGAACATTTTACACTTGAAAAGGTTTTTAACTATAAGACCAACACTAAATAATAAAATACTTTTTGCGAATAAAAACTAAGTAAAAAATACATTTTTTAATATTAATTTTACAACAATTTAAAAAAAAGGTCAGTTTTCTGATCAGTTCTTTGAATTCTGCTAAAACTTTTTTTTCTAAAATATATTTATTTTCCAGTAAACCAAAGTACTATTTAATTAAGAAAATTATTAATCAATAATAGCTTATTAATAAATAAATTATAACATTTAGTTGATGCATAAATTAAAAATACGTTTGATAAAAAAAAAAAATTTAAATATCGCGTTTATATCAAGTGGAAGAACATAAAAAAAAATCTAAAAAAGTCGATTCACCAGGTCTAAACAAATTTTAATTGTTCCTTAAGTTTACCAAGTCTCTTAGAAAAATTAATTCGATCCATAGACATTTAGGTTTCTTCTTATTTTGATTTTTAAACTAATATCAATTATTTTGATAGATTATATACTGTAAAAAGTATATTTTATAGAACAAAAACAAAAAAGATAGGCTAAAACGTAAAGGTCATGCGACTAACAAAACGATAGTATACAATTACCGAAAATTGAATGCATTAACGTTAATGTAAGATACATATGTTTATAAAATAAGTGCAAAAAATGATAATAACTCTGATAATTCACATTAACTTTTGTATGAATGAAAAAAACACGATTTTCGAAGTCTTAACCTGCTAAAAAAATAATTTGAGAGCGTAGAAATCGTATAAATAAATTAAAAGGTAAAGCTTTTAAGTCTTATAGAAAATAATTAAAAAAATAAAGTTGTGTTCCTCATTTCTACAACATTTATAACCCTAGTTACATTTTGGAATACTAACAAAAAGTAGTTTTATAAAAATTTCTAAATCTTAAATTTAAATATTTTGCATTTATTAGAGGCAGCTAGATAATAATAATAGAATTAATTAAGTAAATTCCGTTAGGTATTTCGCTTTCATCGGATAAAAAAATAATAAGCCCAATAAATTGATATTATAAGTTTTCAAGTGCCAAACACCACAAAAAAGCTTTTAACTTGTAAGTGCCCATCGTGATTGCTTCGAGTAAGGTATGCGTGTTGTTTAATAGTTGTCACTAATACTCGAGATTTCCAAGAGGTACTCGAAGGTAAAAGTGAATTTATAAAACGGATAAGTTAATCCTCAGTTGATGGAACTTGACGGTTAAAGGGATTAATCCAAGTGTTCAACATCTTAATGAATTAGGCGATTGTCACCATTGTAAATGTAATACTATTTTGGCAACTCGAATGTAGCGGGTAACAGAGCGTATAAGTGCGCGCGCGTAAAGCAGTTTCCGCCCTCCTTTCGACTTCAGCACCGGTCACTGAGGCGTATCTAACGCCAACGAGTCTACCATTGTGTAAATCGACTATTGCAATATAACTGATATTATATTGTAGGAGTAAAGATAAAAACCGTGTGATGAAGACAAAAAATGATTTTCAATTCTAGGTCGTTTTTCTTTACTACGCGTTTCCCCCCGAAGACTTTCACGAAGAATCTTTTTTTTTTTTTGCAATTTACATGAGTTCTCCAATAATAGTATGGTGTAAACCTCCCTCTCTTGTGCTCCTACTGTTGATGTTTCTCAATATGCGTACTGCGCACTTCTGTTCTTCAATTTCCGTAGTTTTTTTTTTTTTTATCTGTTATGCATGCTCGATTATCGAGACTAAAACGCGCAAGTATACAGACAGAGAAATCGAAAAGTATTTAAAAAAAAAAAAAAAATCGAGCATTTCCAGTCGCCTATGTTACCGCCGCGGGTTAACGAACTTCCTTCGATTTGTTTTCTGTAGCCTATTTGTGAATTCGTGTTATGTTTTTGTTAGCTTATAACAATATTGGTGTAATAAAAAATAATAATAGCATAAAGACGAGATTGTTAACGATTTTCATTATTATCAGACAAGCCAAAGTGGCGTAGGTACATTTTGGTTTGATTGATGAACGCGCTCAGCGTTATACTTTTGTGAACAGACAAATACGAGTGCCTAACGTTAATCATTCGACAAGCACATTAAGGTCAAAAATCTCGTATATTGATATTTATTTGCATAATCGAGTCGCTTTTCGGTTTGTGCGTGTAAATTACAGAAAATCACAGTTTTTCAATTGTAATGCGTTTTTTGTAATTAACGAACATAAGAGATTTAAATCACCTATTTTGTGTCGCAAACGCATGTCTACACGGTATGTCGTGTATTAATAGGTTTTAAAGGTGTGTACACTTTTAATTAACAGCCTGAACAGTTATTACTATTATTAAAACGACCTCGTCTGTATGGCACCAGTAGACCACGATCAGATGATTGAGAACCTCTGTGTACACGGTATAATAAATAGTAATACAATAATATATTTATTATTTGTGATGGGACACACAGAAGTCGCGGCCTACGTACTATATAATGTAATTGACATCAATTAGTGTGCACACACAGTTTAGTGTTCCTCCTCCGGCCATAGAACGCAGTTTCCCACGCGTATCATTCTACAAAGTATACAATGAACATTCACACGTTGTTTATAGATATAATTCACGTTTTATTGTGCTTGAAATAAAAAAAATACATATATTTTCCTTGCACTGTTTTACCACCTTTTTTGCAGATGATTTTTAAATGATCGACTATACAAAATCGCCAATAAACACTTAAAACGACTCACTTGTAGTGACCAGATCCACTCCCGTTAGACTTGGATTTAGACATGTTTTACACGTTATGAGATCACTAGAATTGTTTTATGTTTATCGGTATCGCCGCTTCGGCGGCGGCATAAAAAGCGGAAGCGACCGGAGGAGCGTTTAATAGGTTTCTTTGAAGGACACAAGACTCGACCGCAAACTCTTCGGACACGCACACGAGCACTATGTGTATTGGAGGTAGGTACGCAGGTTCTACAGTAACAGCAAACGCTTGGGCTTCTACAGACTCACTGCCGTTGTTGCTCCACACGAGTAGATCAACCGCATCGCATCTATTTAACTAATAAGTGTAACAACATCCGCTACCTACCACCTCTACACTTTAGTCACTTTTTGTTGCATAGACTCAACGCAACGCTGTACCTAATAATAGTTATAGCACTAGCAACGTCGAACTCAGTACTATAGGTGTACACTAAATAACAATAGGCCTTGTAACGTGCCCCTATAGCGATAGTAATTATTTACTTTCGATAAAGGGTGAAGTGACGGGTTTAACGCCCTGCTAAAGTTTCACCGGCCATCGGTCATAAATCGAACACTGTGTTTTAAAAATTTTATCCTATTACTTCATCACTTACAATATATTTTTTTCCCTATTATCTAATTGAATTTTGTTTTTTAAGACACGTACAGTTTTAATTTGTAGCCACCCACCGGAAATACTGAATTCCCAGTCATCGAGGGGATCAAAACCCAACGTATGGCGTGGAATCACATAATGATGATAAAAGTAATGTTAAAAATCATATTCGAACACTTAGTCACTGTTCACATGCCGGTGGTTTTTAAAAATAATCCGTTGTAATAAAATTAATATTTTCCCATTTTATAACACTGAGGCACGAGTTCTTAAAAAACATTGGTATTGTTGAAATTATAAATTTATGGCAATATTCAAATAAAATTTATTCTTAACAGTTTATGTAAAGCGTTTTTAATGCTTTTCATCAATTTTCTAATGCGACATTTATTCGATCTACAAAAAAAGTATTTGATAATCTGTAGTTGTATACTTTAAAAAGTACACAACTTCTTAATTTCAATTTTTTCTATACAATTTTAATAACGAAACGAACTGACTTACTTTTCTTTCTTTGATTCATCTTTATTTTTGTTTTTGTTTTTGTTCTTCTTTTCTTTTTCTTTTTTACTGTCCGATTGTTCATCTGCTGAACCACTTGTACCTTTAAGTTGTTCTTGTTCTGATATCGGCGGGACGCCGGTTGCTCCTCCACTTGACATGCTCACCACAGGAACGTCACGGTCATCAGCAGTAGGTTCCATCGTCTGCGGTGGCATGGGGTTCCGATCTATCAAAGGAATAATGATAGTGTCCTTATCTCTGTCGTAAGAAACCGGTTCGTCGATTTTCGCACTATTGTTCTTGTGCACAGGAGACACGGGAGACACGGTAGAACCCGTACCAGTGGTGTCGTCTAACCCGCCAGGCGTACGCAAGTCATCGTCGGGTTGCGCTAGCGGTGCCTCACCATGAAACGAAGGTGGTGGAGGTGGTGTAGACATCATCATAGACGGCTGGCCGTCGTCGTCATCAATCATTAACGTGTTAGAATCCATTTAGTGTGTACTATAATATTATTATTGTGTATGGTTAGAAATCAAAACAAACAAACAAATACTTGAGCGCTTTTTGAGCAAAAGATTAATGGCCTTATACAGTTTACGTCAATACGTTTATTGTAGCGACATTAGTGTCTATACGAGCCACAGACGGATGAAGATTTCCCGCGAAGTTGGACTACAGTCATCTGTTGTACTGCATTTTCAGACGGCGGCGGCATCCCATTCACTGTAACGTCACCGCGTATCACTTTTCAGACGTTATCGGTATTAGCTTAGTGAAAAAAAAAAAAAAAAAACCGTTATTTTATACGAACAAATATATCAACATTAACACGATGTCGTTGCTATTTTAATACACTGTACGCACAAATTATAACGCACGCAATATTATCGTTTAGCGGACGCACAACACAACAACTGTTGGTTACTATAGACGGGCAGGATATAGGGCGGTTGCTCGGTTTGCCGTTGTACGTATAATTATATATAGCGCGCGCAATGAACCCAGGGACGACACTACTACACAGCTGCCTAGTATGTGTGAGCGTAGTTTCGAAGCCGCTGCTGGACCGCCGTTTCCAGGGGGTGGTAGTGGAAAAAGGGAAGGGAGTAAACGGGTGGGATACGTCCCTTTTACGAGGAAGGCGGCGGCCGGGTTACTGCCTATAACTTGCAGGGTTCGCCGCCTGGGAAGCTGTGCGTAGAATGTGATCGTCGCTCGTCATCGATTCTGCTGCCACGGGGTGCGTGCGCTCTCGACTCTACCGATCTCAGTCTGCCTGGCTACACCCTTGTGCGTTAGTTCTTCACTTCACAGCCCCTCTTACTTTGTTCGCCGAGTTATTTTTGATATTCACGCGCACTACCCGAGTCGACAGGCTCCGGTGGTCATTGGCATTACCAGCGGATGTGTGCTGGAAAAACATTACACCGCTCCCTATTCATTGCACAACTCATTACAAGAGAGCGCGTGCGCCATGTATACCACCTAAATGTATGTAAAATGAGTACCGTACATGATAATCAAGGGTGGATGTGACTATACACAGGGGACGGTGGGCGAAAAAGTTACTATGACAATATATATTAATTAAGTAAAACTAAATGGATTAAACTCGTGTTTTAACCTTTCACGTAAGAGAACACAATCGACAAAAACAATCCGCGGAATTTCGCAGTTTCATTAGAAATTATGATACTGTAAATACAGTTACAACTTTTCTGTGAACATTTTATTAAATTTTTACAACCGTATCAAACAGTAGGGAATGTATAAAAAGACGCTGTTTTTGATTACAGTCATAAACTAAACGAATGTCCACATTTTTTCGTTATTTCTCAAATAACGAGAATACAAAAATAAATTTTTTATAGAAATCATATTAATGCTAAATCATATTGAGATATTTTAAACTTATAATAACAAAAGAAAATAAATATGAACTATGTTAATAAAGGCGTTAAATTTTAATTTGTAAAACATTATTTTATTATTAAGGCTTCTGAAGTGTGATGAAATTGACAATTAATTGGAAAAGAACTAGTTTATTATTGTGACTCCAAAAAGGGAATGATAGAAAGAATATTTACTCGACTGTAGTAGTGATTCTACTTAGCAGTTAAAGACATACTCATTTAAAATAAGAATTATTAGATATTTTTTTTTAATCTAAATGAATGAAAAAAAAATTCTCAATTTAGTTATTGTCAAAGTTTTATAATTACAATAATAGACATTACTTTCTAAACACTATAAATTTAAATTTTCTTAATAAAGACTTGAAATAATATTTGTTAAATTAACTGATTTCAACTCATGTACTGCAAGTATTAAGGCAAAAATGATAGTATCTACAATTATTCTAGTTAACAATTTATGTATTTAAATCAATAAATTGCAAGTAGTCCATTGCAATAATTTGTTGAACTATACAGATAAATAAAACTGCATGGCAAAATAAAAATAATAGAAGTAAAAATACAGTGCTTACACATTTACTATCTAATATTCGAAATTTGGAAACGGGCAATTCCATTTGCTGAGATAGAGATTTGTTTAGTAATTAGTCAGCATTATTTTCCCCAGTAACAATCATCTAATCATCCATTCTGAAGTATCTATGGCTAAGAATTTTTATTTTCAAGGGCGACTACTGTAATGAGCTGCCAAAGCATAAAAATTGATAAAAATAAAAATTATTGTTTTTATAAAACACCAACCAATCATGTTATTTCAAGTTATAAAGATTAAATCCATTTAGTATATGATTTACATTTAAAATAATGAAGTATTCAATGAAATTGATATTGTTTTTCAATAGAACATTTAACTAGAATATATATTATGTAGCAATATAATATTATAAATATACAATGAAAATCAATAAATAATTAATCTTAAGTAATATAATATAATGTTCAAATTTAAAAACATTGAAATACAATTTTATCTTCCACTATAATTTATTTATATTAGTATCTTAGTTAAAATTAATAAATAAATAATTTTTTTGTTCTAATTTACAAAAAATAACACACATAAATTAATTTTAATAAGGTACATAGTGACATACAAAAAATTAGTAATGTAAACATTGACATATAACCTTCTACCAATTTAAGCTTTTTATACATTTGTGTATTTAGGAATAAATAAATTTTTCGTTGATAAATATATAAGATAATACATCAAACTTTAGTTTGTACAATCTAAATAATAAAATATTTAATACAATAAAAATAAAATAAAATAAATCTCAACTAAAAATAAAAATAAATAATGGTTTTTATGATTAAAATTACTATAAAATAATAGTTTTGTAATATTAAATAATCCATTTATAAATCTTTAATTTGAGATCATTGTTTATACTTTTAAAATATTTAAACGGTAAATAAATTTTACCTACACTACTTTGCATACAATTTGTTTAGATTCATTTTTTTGATAAAGCTGACATATTTTTATATATACTTAAGAAAAAAAAAAATAAAACTCATTTTTAAACAAATATGATATCAAAATGAATTAGAGAACATATCAAAATATATATACATGTAATATTATAAAAATAAAATTAGTTACTACAGTAAAAATGAAAAAGGATAGAGTTCAAGTACATATTATTTTTTTAATACTATGAAATTACCATCTGCTAGATAATGGACTTCTTTCCCTACTATGATTGTGCCGGCAGGAAGTATCATTATCATCATCGTCATAATATTGGTGCATCATCATTTCGTTAGAAGGTATAGATCCATCAAAGTCCATGGGATAGCAAGATCTATTACAAAAGTATATTTGAAAAAGGAAACAATATAACAAAATATTTTAAATGTTATCTCTTATATATTATAAAACTGAAGTTAAATCAGTATCAAACTATATGGTTACTAGAGTAGAAAAAAAACTTACCCAACTATACGACGACAAGTAAAAAACAGAATTCTTTTAAGTTTCTTGTTATAAAAAAAGTAATTAAAAGACCACAAGCATCCATCTTCACTAAATGGATCGGATCTCATATCTGGTGTGTAACTGAAAAATAAATATAAATCACAAATTTATTAAATTTTAATATACAAATAAGGATAACAATTAAAATAAACAATAATCACTTTGACATAAATACATTTTTATAAGTCTTAATTGAATTATATAATCTTATATCAAATTGAATCTATAAAAAAATAATGACACAACTAATATAAAAGAGTTAAATTTAAAGTTATTTTACTTAAAAATTAAAGAAAGTATAACTTCAAATTATATACTTTTAAAATTTTTTTTTGCCTGTATTCTTTCAGTAAAAATATTTTTTTTTTTCAATTAATATTACAATAGCTAAATATGTGGTTGGATTGGAAATTTCTTATTAATTATCTTGAAAGATTATTTATTGGGTGCCATTTTAATTATGTAGATAAAAAAACAAAAAATATTTGTATACTGATAAATATCTAGCTGAGAATGTTTTTTCTAAATTTATTTTTCATATTAACCAAAAACAGAACCAAATTCAAGTCTATCAGATTTAATAAGTACATTATTGACCCAAATTAAATAAATATATAAAATAACTATATTAAATTTTTTATTATATACCTATAAATATCACATTGGGACATTACAATTTCTTTGTCAATTTCTTCCCATAATTTGTGTCTCAGTTGGCTGTAGCTAGATTTGATCACATCTTGATTCAAATCAGAAGTACGACGGCTCATTAATGTTTCTCCATCTGTTGAAGACTCTGTAAGAACTGTACTTAAGTTATTGTCTACATCACGTATCACCAATTGAAGACTACGTTCACGACTAAACTCAGATGACTTAGCATCAGTGAAATCATAATCAGGAGCAAATGTAGCATTTAAAGTAGCAATTAAATAGAACAAAGATTTTCGAGATATTGTATCACATAGCTGATCTACATCGTCTCCAGAAACACTTAAACTGCAAAATAAAAATTTTTATTTAATTTTTAAAAAATAAAAAATCTTTTTGGCATTTTTTAGTTTTATATATATATATCTTGATTTACAATTAATAATTAGATTTTAACATCTTTCCTTACAATTAATAAAGTTTACAACATGTAATATAATTAATAAATTATTTTTTACAAAGACGGGGATTGACATCCTGCTATAGATAGTGTACCGGATATTGTGTGTAAAAAAAAAGAGGTATTCATTTCTTTGACTTATATTATAATTGTCAACTTTCTTATTTAAAATGGCACATACATATTTAACTAGTTTTTAAAATAAAAAATTATTGTTTGATTACAACAGTATTTATCATTTGATTTTTTTGGCTACACCTCTTTTTTAGTCTATTTATAAAAATATTAATAACTTTCAAAGTGCTGGTCAATAAGTTATTACCGACCAGTAATTTTCTTAATTAGATTATAATTAATTGAATAAACTTGATAAATAGGTATGTTTTCATTAAATAAAATAAAGTTTACATCCTGTTAAAATTAAAAGGGATGAACATAAAAATACTACATGATAATGAGAATAACATAGAACTAAAGATATCAAAAATAATTTTTTGAACATAATTATTGTTTTAACAAAAATTCAATGGCTATAGTTGAAAAAAAATCAACATTTATATTTTGGTATCATAATAACACTAGAGTTGGTTTCAAATAGTTTTTGTACAAGATTCATAGTAAATAAGTTAATTTAAAGGCAACACTAATAAAATCAAACAAAAATGTTTTAGAATTATATAAAAATTGAAAATAGAACAAAAAATTAGTTTTCATTTTTCAATACTACTACTACCATAGAGCTAAGTAATAAGCATTGCAAAATTATTATCAAAAAAGATGTTTTTTTTAAATGTCTCAAGTAAAATTTTATAATTTATCTAAATAGCTTGTATTTAAATAAGAATTTAGCTGATCCAAAGACATATTATCAACAATTTATAAAATTTATAGTCATACTAATAATGTAATTTCTAGTAATATAATGTAATCAGATTAAAGTCAATTAAATTTTTAGTACTTTTACTTTTTCAGTTTTAATAAACTAAAAAGTGAAGTTTTATATAATTTACCTTCTTCCAAAACTGTTGTATTTATCACTAGGAGAACACAAAGCTTCCAAGTCATTTGGCTGTGTGCCACTTTGTTGGTAAAATTTCTTATACAATTGTTTTTCATCGCCAACCATTTTACAGCTATAGCTTTCAATTCTACAAAAATAAATTAATTATAAAAAATACATTAATTATCTCCTAGTATATTTAAAAATTCTGAAATTTAATAATTACCTGGCAATAACTTTAACATCGCCACGATCAACACACAAAGCCCGCGATAGGGCATTCAACTGAGAACTTTCTAACAATTTCATTATTTATTATTAACAAAAACTTAAAATTTGTAGACGATTCTACACATTACTTTTCAATAAGCTTTATTTGTAGTAATTAAGCGATCAAGAGAAAAAAATTATTGTTATTAAAAATTTACAGAAAAAATTAAAGACAATAAATGTTTTCTAAAAAAAATTATTATGTCAACTCGTATTATATAACTTATTATCTTAAGTTCTGAATAGACAAACCGTTTTTCACAGATTCATCGATAAAGCACACGTAATTACAAGATAATAACAAAAACACGAAACACTAATGTAAATCGTTGAACATTGAGCATAACAAAAACAAAATGTTATTTTTATTTTTAATCTAAGGACAAATATTATTAATATGATATAGCCGCTGGTCGACCTTGATTTTTGGTTGTTTTATGGTTGTTGGACCTGGGACTGAATAGATTGCGCATGCGCAAAAAAAATCAACTACCAAAACAAAAGAGGGTCATGGAGTACGACTGAAAACAGCTGTAACAATTGTACGCTTTCATATTCAGAAGTCCGCGCCAGAATTTTAACGGTCAGACAGAGAAACATTTCTATTATTGAAATACGTGGCGCGCTCTACAATTGAACAGAATAATTTTCAAAAATTGTGAGCTGATAAAATCCAACTAAATATTTTTCAAGACGTGGAAAAAAAACTTAGTTATTAAATAGATAAATGGGTAATTACTATCAATTTATCATTGTCTTTTTTTAATGTAATTTTTAAGCCTTTGATCAAAAATATAATTTTGTAAAATATAATATACATTTAATCGAAAAATTAAAGTTAAGAATCTTAAAATTAATTCTTTAAGTAATTTCATTAAATTCTACTTATGTGGATAATGGCGTATTTATGAGAGGCAACCCATGAGATCCAGACCCCCTTAGATATGAAATTATAGTTGCGGGGGTAGTAAAGTTGTAAATATACCTTTAGTATATTTCTAAAAGCTATTTGAACCCTTCTTTATACAAAATTTCTATTTATATATCTGTGTGTCCAATGTCGCTATAACGAATATTTTTTGTTCTTCTTGGGATTCGATATACTGATAGTCTATTTTAAAAATATTACTAACATTTAGTACATTTTTTTTTTCATTTTTATGATAATTTACAAATGATTCCCCTAATTTAAGTAAAACTATCTAATATTAATTTAAAGTAAATATTAACTATAATGAATACAACAAATATCTTGCTAATTTCGACATAAATTATTAAAAATATAAATAAATACTTCTTAATATTTGATATATTGTAATCAGCAACAGGTTGAAGAAAAGATTCGTCTCGAGAAAATTAGTAAAATTGGCCAACCTTTCTTTTAAATAACATGAAAAATAAAAAAAAAAATCATTAAAGAACAAAAAATACTTTAAATGAATTTACCTAACATGAATGAACAATTTCAAAACTGTTGAAATTTTAATTATATTTGTTGATGTTAGTGAATAAACAATTAGAAATTTATCAATTTATTGAAATAAAAATACATTATAAGAAAACTCATAATTTAGTTTGTTATTTTAATTTATAGTAAAGGTATAGATGACATTTAAACATGCTAAATAAAATATTACTTAATAATTTTTTTATAATTAATTATTTCTATGTATACCTTTTTTAATACGAAAAAAAGTATATAGTATGTAAAAGTGTATATATATATATATATATATATATATAT